AATTTACTTTGTACTTTACTTCAAGTACAGTATAGACCGCATATAATGTATGTCCCGGGAGTCGCGAAAATCCGCACTATAAGCGGTACGAAGCTACAACCAAAACATCAATTTTTCAGGACAAAATGCATGCCACGAGACAAGTTACCTTTGTAAAACAATTTATTTTATGTTACATGAAAAATAAAGCTCAGTCTGAGGAAAGTTCTTACATCACTAGACTAGTACACTTCTCTCTCAAGCGTGTCACACATTTTGAAAGATATTAGTGGTCTTTGCCTGGCATTGCCTTTTAACGGCGTTGCGGACGACCTGGTCTTTGATAACACTAACACATTGGAAGACCTCATCGCTGAAGAAGTTCTGCTCACAGCGAACCTTCAGTCTCTGTAAAAAATTCCAGTGCGTCTTTACTTGTAATTTCCCCGGCGTGCTCTCTTCATCGTCGTCCGACTGATCTTCGGGTGGACTCTCCCCAGAGCCTCACACCGCTGCAACAATAGCTTCATCGGTGGTTGCTTCCTCACAGAAAACAGTCATCACCATCCTCATCTACATAGTTTTGAAATCGTTTGCAGGAATAAAGTGGTTTTCCACAGGGTCGGACCACAAGTCATCCGTGCGAATCGCCTCGCCAATCTCATCACTGCGCTGATTGGCGTCCTCCGAATTCCCGGCATCGCGCACAAACCCTGCGTTGCGAAAACACTCCTGGATGGTTGTGGCTGTTACTTGCCAGCACGACGCAGTGATGATGTCGATGGCGCCCCTCAAGTTCATCTTGATGAGTTCTTCTCGTTGCAATTTCGAGACGACTCTTTCGCACATGCGCTTCTTGTAGAGCGCCGTGACTGTAGCGATGACGCCCTGATCGAGAGGCTGGCTTTTAGCAGTGGTGTTTGCCGGCAGGAACTTCAAACTGACTGCGCTTAATTGCGGCTGCACATTGTGAGTGTTGCAGTTGTCCAGGATAAGAACGACGCGCCGTTTTTCTGCGACCATGGCCTCATCGAAACTTTTCAGCCAACTACCAAAAACTCTTGGGTTATCAAGACCTTTCCATTTGCTGTGTACACCCCAGGCAGACACTCTCGCTTCGTGAAGCAACGGCTTTGTTTTGATTTCTTGATGATAAACAAGTGCCGCTTGTCGGACCCGTCCATGTTTGCACAAAACAAAACCGTTGACACGTTCCTTTGAGACTTTATGGCCGGAACAGGGTTCAGCTCTCATCGCAAAAGTGTGATGAGGAAGCATCTTGTAGCGCAGACCACCTTCATCGGAATTATAGATGTCTTTGTTCGTGTACGCAGAAAGCATCGTCTCGACATGAATGCGAAACCACGCCTGAATGCTGGCGTCGTCGATTTCCCCACTTTCGCCCGCGATAAGTTTGCAGCTAATCCCATGGCGGTCTTTAAACCGCTGGATCCATCTGCTGAGGGGGGCTGAAGCCTTCGTGTTAGAACAAATGTCAAAAGGACTTCGCTTTCCCTTGTAGCATCGGGCCACTCACTGGGACGTTCTTGGCTTGCACTTCGCGAAACCACCTGAACAAGGCTTCGTCGACGTTCTCATACTTTGACGTACGAATCCCCTTTCTTGAGAGTGACGCAGGATCTTGCTGTAGCTGCTTCCGTACCGTATTTAGGTACTCAAGTAACAGCCGCACTAGTTATGAACAAGGCCTTTGCGTCTGCTTTTCCGCAGAACAGATTATACAGCCAATCATCGCGTCGCGCAAAAAAAAAACATAGCGAATAACTAGGTTGAGAGCACGATTCTTCATACAAATGCAATCTTCACAGATGGTATCTTCGTGCGAAGACGTTATCTCTGTCCTATAAACCGCTGGAATCATGCTGCCAATCGCGGCAAGTGGCAAGCCGCTTGCTCCGCGGAAAAGCGAACCCTCAGGTTTTCTTTATAAACAGTGCGGCTATTACTCGAGTAAATACGGTACTTGCTCCCGGTTCTTCCATAGTAGAAACCGTTGTGTCATTGACGTGTACTTGGCCGCAACGGAAGCTTTTTTTCATGCCACCTTCATATCTTTGACGATGCTCTGTTTGGTTTCGAGAGACAGGGCTTGTCGTTTATTGGCCATCTTGGGCTTGGGAGACAGGGAGATCAGCGATGAACCGTCGATTTCCGTATGATATGCTTGACGCAGTCCAAAAGAGACGTGGAGCAAGCCAACAAGCTGGAAGAAGCGAAACTAGAAACTATCCAGCTCCCCTAGCCAGGCTTCGTTTTGTGTGCAGTGTAAGAAAGGAGGTTGGTTTTGCGTCACTCGAGCGAGGGGGTGAAATCGAAAGGGCGAAAAACTGCGGGGCGAAAGGCTTGGCTGACTCATTGGGACTTTCGTAGTTGAGCACGCGCGTGCATGTGTCACACCTCGCTGCGTTGTAACTCGCTGTGTCGTCATTTGTTTCTCGCCTCTCTCTTTGCTTCTCCTTACTTCTTCCGTGCAACATCTTTGCCATCCTTGGCCCCGCGAATGCCGCTTGTGCCGTTATCTGGTGTCGCACAGGGAAGTGTGCTTGCTGCGCCGGTTGGTCCGCGAGCTGTTCCAGAAACCGCACTATAACCGGTATTTCCCTTCACGTGCCTGCATTTTAAGCGGTATGTATACATGGAGTTGTATGGGAGGCAGACTGGTGGTTGAAGAAAGCCGCATTATATCCGGTCCTGCACTATAAGCAGTTACGTTATAAGTGGTCTATACTGTACCTTTTATATGTACTTTACCCAACACTGGTAAAATGTGATAAGAAAAAAAAAAGATCAGCATACTTGCTCTGCCCCCCATTATTGACATGACTGCAATGGAGGCGGGTGCAAACTTTACGGTAGTTTGCTCACTCCCATTACAGTGCACAGGTATTTAGATGTCAGCTTTCGGGTTCGGTTCATTCATTTTGTGTTTTCATGTATAATTGCTTGTATACTTTCCATGCACACCATGTATCCTCCATTTCAGTTAATCTTTTGTTCAAATTTCAATTTACTAAATGCCTCTTTGTGCTCGAAGGACAAACCGCCCATGTCCCTCCGTACCCCCTCATTTGGTGTGTTCCCATACATTCCCAGTGCCAATCTGCTCACTCTCTTCTGTCGAATTTCCAATCCTGATTGAACCTCTGACCTCGTGTATAGCACACCACTGCCAAAAGATAATCCAGACACAATCACTCCTTTCCATTTACCTGTGACCACTTGCCATCTATTATGATTCCACAGTGCCTTGAGTGTCATATGGCTGAATTTCTTTTCTTTTTCCTAGTTATATTTGCTACTCCATGTTCCTCTAGATCGGTGGTTCTCAAATGGGGGGTCTGCGGACCCTGAAGCCTTAGACCAGTGGTTCTCAACCACAAATGTTTTGGGGGCCCCTTTTGGATCAACAGAAATGATGGGAGACCCCATTAACTGGGAGGGAGGAGAGGGTAATGGATGATTACAATAATAAAAGTGTAAATGAAGAAAACTAAATGCATGCAAACCAACTTCGAACCCTTCTCACTCAGTGCATATGGTAGGGTCTATTTAGCTTTGTGGCTTGACTTGGCTCGGCTTGACTGACGGTCTAAGGCTTTAGGGACCCCAAGAAGGCCTTCAAAGACCCCAAAGGGTCCACAGACCCCCATTTGAGAACCACCGCCTTAAGGCCCAGTCACACTCTTGCGACCGAGTACGACTGAGAGAGACGAGATCTGTTACAACTTCTTAAATTTTTTTAGGACGAGAGAACACACTGGCATTGTGGCGCCATCTATGCGGTGACCCTGGAACTGCATTTCATAAGAGCAAAGGTTTTGCGGGATTTCCGAGGTCAAATGTGCGTAATACTCATAGAAAGGCTCGTTTATAACATTGAAAAAAGTTTTTTGAGCCAAGAAAAAAAGGATAATGCGCGAGAGAAATAAAAAAATATGCCATAACACCGAGTTTATACTGCTACCCAGTAGATGGCGTCAGTGTGTCCTCTGGTTTAAGAAGTTTTAAGGAACCCAGGTTTAAGAGATCGCAAGAGTGTGAACGGGCCTTTAGACCATCAATCAAGCCATGCACTAAAACTTTTTTTTTTATTGATGCTGGTTGCCTCACAAAGCTAAATAGACAAAACCATGCGCACTGAGGGAGTAGGGTTGATTATTATATATTTTAGGGCTGCAAAGTTGATTTGCATGCATTTAGTTTTCTTCATTTATTCCCCCCCTCCCACTCCCCGGTAGATGGGGTCCCCCATCACTTCCGTCGATCCAGAAGGGGTCCCCAAAGCATCTGTGGTTGAGAGCCACTGCTCTAGAGATTACCTTCATGCATTTTAATTTTTTTCTATAGTCTGTTCAGTGTTTCATATTTTCAGCGCTTCCCTCTTTTCCTCATTAAACACCATTACTCCAGACATTTCACTACTAAAACTCAGGCCCAAGATGTGCTTTTCCACTCCCCACGTCCCAGTCAGCTCCTGCAACATATTTAGGATGTTTGCCACGAGCACTACACGCTATGACCCCTTTGGAAAGTATGTCCTCTGTTGGAAGTTGTGTCCTCCTCCCACGATGGTGGGCACAAATGCGAGCTCCTTGCATTTGATTGCGCTTCGGCTGCACGAGCTCCCGTGTAGCGGGTGCAAAAGTTTGAAATATTCGCAGTTTTGTACTGTGTCAATTTAACCACGTAGTACCACTCTCCCGTACATGCACATTCGGTTTGTGCTACAGAGCAGAATTTTCCTGGAAGGGGGGAGGGGGAAGAGGAGATTACCGAAAGAAATGCCTATCACATTTAAAAAAATAAAAAGGGACGATATTGGTAGTTCGGGGCACTTTGCAAGTCTGCAGACCCGTTGCGAACAAAGGCGTGCCCTCCAATTATTTTCACTTCGGCCAGCTTTGGTGACAATTGCGACAATCGTTCTGAGGTAAAATGCGACTATAGCAGAAAACAAAAAGCAAGCCTGCACCAGAAAGACGGCTCCTTTGCAGCTATACCTGGAGCTGATGCGGTCGCCAGACCATCAGCCAGAGCTGCCTGAAGCTGAAGGCCCTGCAGCTGTGCGTCTGCTCCGGGTGCAGGCAGTAAAGCCAGGCTCCACCGGGAGCCCTGTGCCAATTCGTGTGTCCCCTACAGAGAGACGCAAACGTGAGCATTCTCGCACCATGTGTGGGACGAGCTTCCGAACACACAATAAACTAGTTGATCCAAGGGACAGCGAAAACAATGATTCCTAGCAACTCAAAGAGGTCGCACGTTTTTGAGCGGGGCACGTGAATCTACTTTATGAAAGAGAATGCGCACGGCCAATCGTTACGATCCACGGAAGGAGTTTTGGTGAACAACGAAGCTGAGAAAAAGTTTGCCCCAAATATATGGTCAACAGAGAGGATGTTGGAGAGGGCAATGTTAAAGCTGAGAAAACAAAATGTGTTTAAAGGGCCAAAAATGGACACTCACCGGTCTTTCATTTAGCAACAGCAATGAATAGCGCGACAGCCGTCGTTAAAACTGCCTTACCTAACTGAAAGATTCGCGAGTGTAATTTTTTCTTTTGCTTTTTTTCGTTTCGGTTTTAACATCATTGGGGGTGGCACATCGTGGTTTTGACAAAGTAAGGAAGCTTGCAACCGTCACAATCGTGCCGCTAATTATACCAACGTGGTAAAATTTTTAATCGGAAAATCTCCGCGTTTTACTACACGCTTATGGCATTTTGGTAGACTGTTTGAAACTTCTCAATAGGCAGTCTTTAATCTGGCCCTGGAACTAAACATGTAGTACTTATAGACGACTCAAGCGGCTCAAGAAGCCAGACAAGCGGCGCTAATCACGTAACGCACCAGACGCCGCAGCGACGAGCCGAGCCAGCTCAAGACAAGCCCGCGGCAGCCGGCATGTGCACTGGTCAGGGCCCTGCGCAGATGCTCCAGAGCTTCCATGGGGGGCTGCTCCTGCAGACAGCACGGACGACGCTCGAGCCTTTTGTACCATCATCCTGGGCAAAACTTACCTCGGCTGTCAGCACAAAATGTGCCAGGGGCAGCTCGTAACAGAGTGTGTACTGCGAGGAACACATCTTCACCACCTGCGACGGAGCAACAAAGGATTCATAAGGCGAAGCTCCATCGCCCACATCAACACTTGGGACTCTAGCCAGTTGGGTACTGATGCGGTGTAGCTCGTACGCGACATAACTTGAGATGTTTTCACGCGTGCATGTAAATGGAATGGCAGAGTGCTGGAACGATGGGATGTAGAAACAAGGAAGCTACATGTAGAGCAGTGGTTCTCAAATGGGGTTCCGCAGGCCTGCTGGGCCTCCACAAAGCCATTTTTGGGGTCTGCAAAGTCCTCGCCTTAACTCTAAACCCCCCCCCCCCCTTCTTTTCTTGAAAAAAAAAAATAAAAGCTTTATTTGTTGACCCTGGCTAGGAGGTGCAAGCTACAGACTGTTTTAAGGGGTACAGCCATTACCATCTATTCATCCATTCATCCTTTTTCTTGATGCCTCTCACTTACGTCTATAACAGTAAAGGATGCCCTTTTCACGCAGCAGTTAGTTGACTTATTGTACACACCCTCCTCTCCCACTTTCTTGGGGTCCCCCATCACTTTGGCGAGTCCCCAAGGGGCCCCCGGCACATCAATGGTTTAGAACCACTGATCTAAAAAGTGCTTCTTTTTTGTTCAGTTCCCCCCCCCCCCCTCCCCCCCTCTCAGATGTAAAATAATTTATTTGAAAATGAATGAGCTATATTTATTATTGATAATAAATTTCTCTCATACCTTGTTCGCAAATTATGAATGCAACTCTACTTGGCCTAGTCCTGTACGGTGTCGAAGATGCCCATGTGCCACAAGTCTACCACTGAGTATACGAGACAAGCACCCACCCATAATCACTATATCTTTGCAATGGAACTTAAGGGTGGGTACTTGCTCGAGTCATATAATTATAATATACATACCGTATTTATTTGAATATAGGCCGACCTCTTTATGAACAATGCCTGTGCGTGTTTTTCTCTAACACTCAAGAAGAGCCTATCATTGCGATTTACCGAAGACGCCCAGCGAATGAAGAGGTACCGATAACGTCGGAGCACAGAAAGGAGCTCTGGGTGGATCACATTTTTCAAAATATTCCAAACGTTATCTCTGCTTCGTCATTCGATGACTCCTTTCGTAAGTCTCAATGATTGAACTCCGTGGATTCTGCGGGAAAGATTGAAGTTGATGCCGAAATATTTATGTTGTTACAGATTCAAGTAGTATGCTAGAAAGTGAATAATCAAACTGGGTACTCCCTAGTACTTTTTTTTTTAGAGAAGTTAAGGAATTTAGTTTTGTTAACATTGATTTCCATCTGCCAATGTCGACACCACAATTCAACATGATACAAATCAGTTTGCAAAAGGGTACAATAGGACACATTGGTTATTTATTTATTTTTTTTTATCACACAGTCATCTGCATATAGCCTAACAGTTGAATTAAGAATATCTGGGAGGTCGTTTAGGTATAGTAAAAATAGTAGCAAGCCCAGCACAGCTCTCTGCGGTACTCCTGATTTAAATGACACTTTCCTGTGAAGAGGAAATACTGCCGCGCGCCAAGTAGGCAGCGCGGCCGTAGCCTAACGGTTATCGCGCTTGCCTCCCACGCGAAGGGCCAGGGTTCGATTCCTGGCCGCGACTATGCATTTTTGTTAACTCTGTAATGTGATGTTCTGGTGAAATCGAGAACAGTCTAGCTGATTCGAGGTCAGAATGTTCTACGCTTCGAACCTTCTACGTCGAATCAGCTAGACGGTTCTCGACGATGGTCCGAGTCCTCGCAAACCACGTAAACCTACCACCGCGGTCGAGTGTTTTCGTACTTGTCGGGATCGATGAAGCTTCCTGTGGCGAAGTTCTTCGCGAGGGAAGCCTCCAATTGCTCCTGGGAAGAGGCATAGGCGTCGCAAGGGGAGTAGCTCAACTTGAGGATGGGCGGACTGTGGCTCTCGTGACGAACTTCCGAAACGAAACGCAACACCTCACGAAAGGTGCAGCCGTGGGCCACGTCGAGAAACTCCGAAACCCCGCCGAAATCACGGCGATTACTGACGAATCCTCGCCGCCCCAGCAAGACAGTACATCGCCAGCGCAGCTCGACATTGACCCTAAGCTTCCGGACCCTAAACGGCGTCAGCTGGCTAAGCTCCTCGCCGAATACCGCGACTGCTTTGCGACGTTGTCGAAGATGCGCCAGACCGCGGTTGCCAAGCACCGCATTGTTACCGAGGACAACGCGCGCCCTGTGCATCGATTGCCGTACAGAGTCTCCGCTAAGGAAAGGGAGGTGATCCATCAGCAAGTTCAAGAGATGCTGAATGACGACATAATCCAACCTTCAAGCAGTCCATGGGCCTCTCCAGTCGTGCTGGTTAAGAAGAAGGACGGAACTCTTCGGTTCTGCGTGGACTACCGGCAGCTCAACACGGTTACGAAGAAAGACGTCTACCCACTCCCCCGCATCGACGACACTCTAGACCGGCTGCGCCACTCTCGATACTTTTCCTCGATGGATCTGAAGAGCGGCTACTGGCAAATCGAGGTCGACGAACGGGACCGAGAGAAGACAGCCTTCGTCACGCCGGATGGACTGCACGAGTTCAAGGTGATGCCCTTCGGACTATGCACTGCGCCAGCAACTTTCCAGCGTGTCATGGACACCGTACTGGCAGGGCTGAAGTGGCAGAGTTGTCTCGTCTACCTTGACGACGTCGTAGTATTTTCAGCTGACTTCGACGAGCACTTGAGACGACTCCGAGCTGTTCTTCAAGCCATTCAGACCGCCGGACTCACACTCAAGCCGTCAAAGTGCCGGTTCGCCTATGACGAACTGAAGTTCCTTGGCCACGTGGTTAGTAACGAAGGCGTCCGCCCAGACCCCGAGAAGACTCGCGCCGTCGCGGCATTTCCAGCGCCGACAGATAAGAAGGCCGTGCGAAGATTCCTTGGACTTTGTGCCTATTATCGACGCTTCGTTCGGGATTTCGCAAGGATTTCCGCACCACTTACGAATCTCACGAAGGACGCCGAGAAGTTTGAATGGGCCGAGGAGCAACAGCAGGCATTCGACGAACTGAAACAACGACTCCAGACTCCTCCTGTGCTTGGACATTTCGACCAGGATGCGGAAACAGAAATTCACACGGACGCAAGTAACGCGGGACTGGGCGCAGTACTAGTCCAAGTGCAAGAAGGCATCGAGCGAGTCATCGCCTACGCAAGTCGGACATTGTCCAAGGCGGAGAAAAATTACTCCACGACTGAGAAAGAATGCCTTGCGGTCGTCTGGGCAATAACGAAGTTTCGTCCGTACTTGTACGGGAGCCCGTTCCGTGTAGTCACGGACCACCACTCGCTCTGCTGGCTTGCGAACCTGAAGGACCCGTCAGGACGCCTCGCTCGATGGAGTCTTCGACTACAAGAGTTCAACATGACAGTGGTCTATAAGTCAGGCCGCAAGCACAGCGACGCCGACTGCCTGTCCAGAGCCCCCGTCGAAACCCCTTCCGGCTGCAGCGACGACAATGACGACGAGTGCTTCCTAGGAGCAGTGAACACCGACGATATGGCACGACGTCAACGGGACGATCCTGAGCTGCGCGCATTAATCGGGCACCTGGAAGGGGGCAGGAGTACCGTGCCACGTGTCTTCTCACGAGTACTGCCGACCTTCGCCATCCGACAAGGTGTACTCTACAAAGAGAACTTCGGCGACAACAACACACCGTGGTCACTGGTAATCCCTGGTGACCTTCGAGAAGAGATCTTCCAAGCCTGCCACGACGACCCGACATCCGGACACCTTGGTTACAGCCGGACACTGGCCCGTATTCGTGAAAAGTATTACTGGCCGAAGCTCCCCAAGACCATCCACCTATACACACGATCATGCCACGAGTGCCAGCGACGCAAGAAACCGCCGACGAGGCCGGCCGGACTTCTGCAGCCCATTTCTCCTCCAACTACACCCTTCCAGCAGATCGGAATGGATCTACTTGGTTCTTTTCCGCCTTCGACGTCGGGGAACCGCTGGATCATCGTCGCCACAGATTATCTCACGCGGTACGCCGAAACGAAAGCTCTTCCTTCAGGGACTGCTGTGGAAGTCGCCAAGTTTTTCATCGAGTCCATCGTCCTCCGGCACGGCGCTCCCGAAGTTCTGGTTACAGATCGCGGATCTTCGTTCATGGCCCAGCTGACGCAAGAGATTCTTTGTCTCAGTGGCACCGGCCATCGTCGAACCACTGCATACCACCCGCAGACCAACGGGCTGACCGAGCGACTCAACAAGACAATCGCCGATATGATCTCTATGTACGTCGACGTAGAGCACAAGACGTGGGACGAGGTGTTGCCCTACGTCACGTTTGCCTACAATACGGCGGTTCAGGAGACCACTGGATTCACCCCTTTCCAGCTGGTACATGGTCGGAAGGTAACGACCATGCTGGACGCAATGCTGCCCCATGAGCCATCTGACAATGAGAGCGACGACGCCCAGGCGGTTGCTCAACGCGCCGAAGAAGTCCGCCAGCTCGCCCGACTCATGATTCAAGACCAGCAACGCGTCGACGCTGGCCGCTACAACCTTCGTCGCAGGGACGTTCACTTCCAGCCCGGAGACAGGGTGTGGGTGTGGACGCCCATCCGTCGCCGCAGCCTCAGTGAGAAACTGCTGAAACGGTACTTTGGACCATACAAGGTACTTCGTCGCCTCGGCGAGCTGAACTACGAGGTGATGCCCGACGGAACAAGAACATCATCACGCCGCCCACCACGACCTGAAGTCGTCCACGTCGTGCGCCTGAAGCCGTACTACGCTCGATAGGACTGTGGATCTTATGTGTTTCAAGTGACTCTTTAGTTTGCCGTTCTTTTTATGTGCTTTGTTTTATTTTGGGATGCATCGGGGCGATGCACTTTTTAAAGGGGCCCTGCAATCATATTTCAGCGTCTACCTTTTTCGCGGTTTCCACCTCTCTTGGGGTTGGGGCAAGCCAGCGGGCACGGAGAGAGCAACTAATTATCAGTGCGTCATATTTTAACCGGACGACGCGAAAACCCCCTCCACCGACGAGGGCGACCCGCGGTACCGAAAGCGCGCAAAATGTGACGTCTTTGGTCCTGGGCTTGTCACTGGTCAAAGTCGCTAAGAGCTTTTTTTTAGTCGAGATACAAAATATAAGTGTCGCGAACCGTTTCAATTATGTATGAAAGTAGTTTATGTTCACAATTTTAGATCAGAAAAGAAACAAATGCAGTTTAGAAAGTACGGAAACGAGAAATGACCCGTCGACATACCCGCCACCAAGCGGCGAAAAAAAAACGGCGCATACTAGAAAAGGCTAGTGGGATGAGCTACGACAAACGATAAGCGTAAAAAGGTCCCGGATGTACGCGGCGGCGCTGTGGTCGTTTACCGGCTCAAGAATCGGACCGGTTCCGAGCGTTCCGAAGGCCTTCGGCGCGGGCACTGTTGGCGATTTGGCCATTTGGCGGTGCGTCAGCGCGAAGTGGCTCCCGTTCTGAACTGATCTTCACCCCGCGTTTGCGGTCGTTTGTGGCCAATGAAATGTTATGCCGAATTAGTGTTTAGTCGCGCTGCAAATGCAATACGAGCTGCCCTGGCCGCCCGCTTCATACAGCCTATCCAACACGTGCTTTAGTGGCGCCCTCTCGAGCCGTCGACACGGAGTGCGGCAGCCGTGTGCGCTCGATGAGCTCACTACTCCTCCTCTAGTTCAAGGCCACTCGAGGCAGGACCTACGACGTCATGAAGGAGGTTATTTTTTGCTTGTTTTTGTAATTCTAATTTGCCTATAACTTTTAAAATAAAACGAAATTTGAGAAAAGAAAAGTTGGATTAAGTTACTATGTTCAGTACGCTCAGGTTCAGTGCAAATTAAAAACCAGTCAAAAAGTCATTGCAGGGCGCCTTTAAGGGGGGAGTAATGCCGCGCGCCAAGTAGGCAGCGCGGCCGTAGCCTAACGGTTATCGCGCTTGCCTCCCATGCGAAGGGCCAGGGTTCGATTCCTGGCCGCGACTATGCATTTTTGTTAACTCTGTAATGTGATGTTCTGGTGAAATCGAGAACCGTCTAGCTGATTCGAGGTCAGAATGTTCTACGCTTCGAACCTTCTACGTCGAATGCTCCAGAAGCCAACGTGTGTACAAAATTTTTTTTGCCGCCGAAACAGATACAGCGGAAGAGGTTACAGGGGTGCCACCCCCCGCCACCCCGGCAGACGCGCCGCAAACCACGTAAACCTACCACCGCGGTCGAGTGGTGGTAGGTTTATGGTGGTCGAGTGGTGGTAGGTTTATGGTGGAGTGGTGGTAGGTTCGAATGCTCCAGAAGCCAACGTGTGTACAAAACAAAAATGCATAGTCGCGGCCAGGAATCGAACCCTGGCCCTTCGCGTGGGAGGCAAGCGCGATAACCGTTAGGCTACGGCCGCGCTGCCTACTTGGCGAGCGGCAATATTACCTATTGTAACATTATGAGTTTGATTTAAGAGGAAGTTCATTATAAAATTTATAATCAATGCCTCTATTTGGAGGGCGTTAAGTTTTCGAATGAGACAACTATGCGGGACTTCGACAAAAGCTTTTAGCGGCGAAGCTCCTTAGGGTCTAGCCTTGTCCATCCGGCGTCCGTGCTCACATCGATTGCCATCCCATCTGTCTTCTTAAAAAAAGAAAAAATGTTTGCGCAGTCGACAGGATTCGAACCTGTGCGGGGAGACCCCAGTGGATTTCTAGTTCATCGCCTTAACCACATGGCCACGACTGTGGGACAAGTAGGGGGCTCTGAGATGTGGTAGTAACTGAAGAGCTGGGGATGTCATGGATGAAACGTTGCATGTAGCCGCTCAACGTCTATACAGGAGAGGGCGCTGCGGTCAAATGTGTATATAATCACATTAAACTTTGCATGCATTGGCTCGACGTTTATAGACGAGAGGGTGCTGCGGTCAAATGCTCAACTGCATACATAACCCCGATCCATACCACACATTCTCTTTCTGACATGGACCGTTGACTTAAGCGGTGGAGATGCGTTCCCACGGCTTCTAGCGGACCCAAGCTGATCCGCTAGAAGAACCACTGGCTCTGCATTTCACCGACCATAAAGCAGTAATAATGAAGTCGAAACGCAACCCGGAACTCAGCACTACCTATGAGCAATAAAAAAAAATCAGCACCATCAGCACTACCTATGAACAAAATCAGTATCATCAGCACCACCAGAGCTTCGCCCCAATCAACATCATTCACCACGTGGAGATGCAATCATTTTTTTGAAAATCGATGAAGTCTTATTTTCAAGATGTAGGTTTTGGTGGATATGAGTTACAAATTTATACAGCTGAGATTCACAGGAGAGGGACCACCAGAAGCCGTGCTGGTTAGTGAAAAGTAAATTGCTGACACGTAACTAATTCTTAAAGTAGAATAGACAACATGTTCCATCATTTTACATCACACTGACATAGAAGAAATAGGCCCGTACAATTAGAAAGATCACAGTTGGAACAGTCTTTAAAAACCGGGATAACCATAAGCGTTTTCCAATCAGCCGGTACAACGCTGGAATAGAGGGATTTTTTAAGCGCATTGTACTTATAGTACAACTTCAAGTAGGTTTAGAAAACTTGTACTTCACTTGAAGTACATTCTCCGAGTATGTCCTTCTACTTTACTTAAAGTATTTTTTTCTGGTACTTTCTGAGGAAAGTACAATCCCCGAATTCAAAGTATGTTCCCTGAATTTGGTATTGTTAAATTTGTATCGCAAAATGCTGGTTTGTCAATTCTAACGAAATAATGACTCTGACGAAACTAAAAATGATATAAAATATATATTATTAAAAAGTATTAAAAATAATCTCCTGCTTACTTGTTTGTATTTGTTTTAATTCTTTAAATTTGAATGTTGTCCTATTGCATGCATAATTCAGCATATTTGAGACACTGATTTATATATATATGAGAGTGTAATTCCCAATCAATGTTGTGTTTCCAGTTTACTCTGTATTGATGTTTTGTTTTTGATTTTCCCCAAGGAACTGCCTTGCTTCGTTTTTGTAAAAGTTTCCAGTATACTTATGTCACCTCTGTTTACCTGTTAGGGGGCTGGGAACCAGTTAAGCTGCTTATAGTTTTTTACAGCGAAGCTGTTAAGGGCTAGTTCCCCCACTATCGTGTCCGCGGACAAGCGGCGTGTCGTCACAAAGGCTCAAGATACACACAACACCTAAGCACTTCTTATGAGTTGTGAATGCGAAAGCATGTACGCTATATTCTTCCGCTTCCTTATTTCGTCAGCAGCATATTTACTTCGACAGCAGAGCGGCGGGCTCTGCCGGCAAGGAGAGGGTGCCTCTCCTCGCCGCTTTGACCTTGGACGTTTCGTGTTAGCGGCGCGCTGACGGACACGCAGCGCCTTGGGTGGCCGTCGTTGAAACTGACGTGCAGCGGCCAATGGGAGCCTCGTCGATGCGCGCCAGCCAATGGGACTGAAGCCGAAAATCCATCAGCAAATTTATTCCGCTCCTTTGGGATCGGGGAATTTAGGTGCCGTTGGCTAGCTTTTTGCGTGGTTTCATACATGGGAGCTGGCTTCACTTGAAGGATTTAAGGAGCCGTTTGGTGCAGTTTCAAAGCTGATTACGTCGGCTCGCTCCATGAGACAGTTAAGCTTTCGCATTGAAACTCAGCCAGTTCACTGTCACCCTCACACGCGTACGATGAGGAGAGTCGCCCATTGTGTTTCGTGCCCTCTCTCCCCCAAGGTTGTCGGCAACGGAGGCTAGCCGGTCCATTGTGCTGTCACGCAGCTTCACCTTCTTCCCCGGCATCCGCGTCAGCGGCCACTTGCGCTCGTGCCATTGAGCACGCCCCGTGATTGGCGCAGCCCTACTAGAATAAAATGTCATCATCTCACCTACCAATCGTGTGTGACCTGTGTCCCGTGACGTCAAGATTGCACTAGCGCTCTTATAAGTTGCCCTTTGGACTCCCGATGGGTCAGCCACGTGATGTTCGTTCGAAGGAAGAATAATTTGCGACCATCTGTAAATTTCTAAAAAATGCCTTCGCTTTCTATGTCATAAAAAAACCGAGGAGCAGCCCGGATTGGGGGAGGAGGATGCAGATTTTAGACAGGCTCTATTACAGACAAAAATTTGTTTTCTTTGCTATACATTCTTTTTTAGTTATAGATTATAAGTTTTTGAAGTATTTGAGACAATAAAAAAGTATTGATAAGCTAAGAGGAGCAATTCCACGCCACTTGACAATGACCTCTCTGCCACTGCTCCTCTACCCTACCACTCGAACTTAAAGGCACAGCATGTTGCTCGCTGCTCAGAGGCTGGCCTACAAAACCTCTTTGGCAGGGCTGAGAATTTAGCCCTTTGTTTCCCTGGGCTCGTCAATGAAAGAAGGAAAAAAACTCTCTTTTTGCAAATTCTAGGGCGGGAACAAAATTTGCAGGAGGCTCATCGAAGAGTCCTTGTAGATATATACAGCCAACTAGCAGCTCGTGGCTCAACCGCAAAAGCACGCACGGATATCCGGTGAGCTCCAAACCAACTCAAAAGCACTCACCCCGGGGGGAAGTGCATTTGTGTCCTGAGCAACAGCGAGGAGGCTGCGCAGCAGAGTTCCAGCAGTCATGGGTGTCATCAGGGGCAACTGGCTCAAAAGCACAGGCACATCGTGTAAGCCGCTCCTACACGAACCTTCCTGCGAGTGGACAAAGGGGCTGAATTAGCCTCGGAAATGTGTACACAATGCCAAGAATAGCCACGTGTGCCTCTCCTCTAGAGGGACGATTGGACCAGCGCTGTATGACAATCTGCTGTCTATAAAAGAGCTCCGATACGGCATAGGGTATGCACAACTAGAGTTCTACAGTAACACCATCGACAAGAGCACGACAACTGAAAAAAAAAAACACTCGCGACATAGAGCCGGGCTTTTAACCTCAAGAACTTTGCCAGTTAAGAACCAAGCTGACTGTTTACGTCTTCGTCCCCCTCCCGTCTCTCTTTTTGTCCTTCACGCACGATAATGACGCATATTTCTTAAATAGTATGAAGGTAATAAGCCATCTGAGGCACATCTTCACTGATAAAAATATTAAAAAAGGCAGCAACGGAAAGCTCGGGCACACGGCACGGCACCATGGTCAAGTTTTTAAATGCAGCGCCGCATTAACACTCAAGCACAAGAATCCTCCTCTCACTCTCGCTTACTTCCCTCCCTCCCTCCTTCCCCTCCCCCTCCCCCTCCCCTCCTCCCCCCCCCCCCCCCCCCCCCCCCCCTTTCAAGGGATGGGTAGATCCAGACCACAGCAAGGCCAACTGTCAAGCTAGCAGAGCCTATATACCGGTAGGCTTTTAGAAGGGATTTAACGACAAACTGAGCCAAACAAACACCTATGAAAAATTCAAAGACAATTAATTTATACTTTTCGTCAAATTTAGCGATTTATTGATAAATTTATTTATAAATAGTGATAACCTCCTTTGGGAGGTTGTGGCAGGGGAGGTTAGTTCAAATTAATGCGTGGCATTAAATGCCCTGAAGTGTCTCTGTTAAAATCGCTGTTTAGTAATGGGTACAAAAACTTTAGCCTCCAGTTTGTCTCCAGTACCTATCTGGGTCACTGGGGGCAACAATGTTTTTAGTGGCATTTGGGATGGTAGCTGTGAATAGATGAAAAGTTTGAGGTAAGGGGAGGTGCATAAATTGACATAAATTTGAGGAATACCAGCTGTGCCATTTGCATTCACTACAAACTGCACCCTCCGCACCTACCACTGTTCGGGAAAAAATTTATTTACGTATCTGTATCTGTATTTCAGAGTACTTTTTGACAGTTTTGCGCAAGTACCTCACGGATATCCCATTACATAAAAGGCAAATGTATTTTAGCATCTGTACCTTGGCTCTAAAATACATGTATCTCAGTCTTTGTATTCCAGAATACGTTTTGGAGTACCCCTGCCCAGCCCAGTCTCCTGGTATCTAAGTTTATGTGGTTGGTGCGTGTTGCAGTGTCGTTCCTTTAGGCGAGCTTATTTTTGCGCCAATAGCAGCGGGCCTGCTGGAAGCGGGCCGTGGGCATCAGGCCGGGTTTTATTGGCAGGACCGCGGCCTGCCGTGGGCCGGTCAGAAGACCCCTGCGGGCTGGAGTTTGGAGACACCTGGTTTAGAGCCATATGAGGTTCCCATACCTGGGAGTTAAATCGCAGGCTAAACCAAGGTTTTGCCAGTGATTTTTATACAAAAGTGTGGTTAAGATTGTGCCACAAATACCCAAGTTTATTACGAGCCTTGCAAACAATGTAGTCAGCGTGTACATTTCACTTCAGATTGTCCAAAAAATGCACCCTTAAGAAATAGTATGCAAAAGGAATTTGTAGAGGATTGTCATTAACATGGTATAAGGAACTAAGTAGAGAACATTGTCTACAAAATGCCAATGTGCACACTTTCAGTACATTAACCTTTAGGGGTCATGTGAGTTTTCTCCTTGCAGGCCCCAAGTCAGAATTAGTTTAAGCGAAAAAAGATCAAATCAATGAGTGACTTCAAACTCAGCTCCTTAATATACTACGATCAATATGTTCAGTTCGAAATAACTTTGCATTGTCCTGAATGTTTTCATTTTAATTACTGAACTATACTAGCGGGATTTGCACAGCATATGATACTTTTCAAAGCAAATACTGGGGTGCACGCCAGGGTATCGAGCACAGGTTTTACAGTAGAAAACAGTTTCACGTCTTTGCCCTTTGACGTTCCTATCACTGGAGACTGCACAGTCTGTAAAATGCTGATGAAGTAAAGGCTGCCATCTTGAACCTCCAGAAATGCATGTAAAATGTCCGCCTTTGCATCTAGTAAAAGAAAAAATGTGTCGCCCCTCTTACGAAATTAGTTGGAGGGACAAAAAACTAAGTATGCATACTTTACATACCCAATAAGAGATGGCGCAAGTTGAAATTGTCATGAGGTGCTTGACGTTTGATCGCAAAGGAGAAATGGACCTGTCGGGCGTACCCCGACACTTGTCCAGAACGGGAATATTTACTTGTCAGGAAATACCTGACAGATGATCCCAAAGGGTTAAGGGGCAATTGCCAAGTTGTGCACCACAGCATAGCACAGGAGCACAACACCGAGAAAAAAAGGCAAAATGCACCAACTGCACTTTCCATTTGAGTCACCTTCAAATGTGAGTGTATACAGACCCCACAACGTGGCAAAATAGGCCGGAGAAGAACAGAACCTCCACTGCTACTTTAGCAGAAGATAGGTTGCACTAGTGAAGCCAGCGGAGGCAAAAGGGATGCCAAGAGGAAGCTCACCAATGTGCCCAAGGCCAGTGCCACAAGCTGGGCCAACGCCTGCGAGGCCCACGAGGTATCCTTGGCCAGTGCACCCCACAGCTCATCCAGGTGCTTGGCTATGGTGCCCTGCCGACAGAGGGTCCGGGAGACGTGCCGTCCAAAGTCAAGTTCAAGGTGTCAGCTCTCAGCTTCCTCCCCCTCGAAGGGCAGTTCATGGAACGATCTAAGGGAGGTGGCTGTAGCAGTGGTACCATTTGCGACACGCTCGTTGCCCAGAGCCGCTTTCCCTGAGGGCAACATATCTATTGGATTCTTGGCACAAGTTTTGGTTCGGGTGGTTTCAGCCAATACTTTAGAAAAAAAGGTAATAGGCCAAAAACTCCGGAATAAAAAAATTATAATCACTTGTCTAGGCCGACATTTCGCATATACACGAGCTGAGGTAAGAAATTTTATCCTTCATCCAATGGCTTGCAGCTCCAGGTATTTTTAGTCACTAATGCCAATGCTGTCTGTTGTCATTTTGTATTTTGGAGATATCACAATGACAAACATACTACCCATTGAATTTGATGACTGGCTGCATTCATCATTGGCAAACACTTTTAAGAAAAGGTATACACGGAGTTCCTGAAACACTACGTAACTTGATGCTTCGCCGACAATAAGTGGCATCAGAGTACTTTGCGAAACCAGGTGTTTCTGACGCGCATAAAGTGGATTGACAACAAGACCCTTGAACGCTTTCTGTCAAGCAGAAAACCTTTATGTGCTTCTTTCCATTCCTGCTCCTCCCTCCTCCTCACCCAAAAGGAGTGGGTCCGGCAGCTATTACCCACGGAAAAGAAAGGGGGTTTTTCGAGAAAAGGAGAAATCGAGAAAGGGTTTCCTTCTTTTTGCTTGTTTGATCCCGGCAAGGATGCCACCATTTTCTACCCCAAAGATTAGGGCAACCCAACACCCCCAAACAAATCATAGCTCACACAATCCAGTGCCTTGCCTGGGACAGTACTGAGAGCACAGAGCATCTCACAATGCCAGCTGCTTCTGTTGAGGAATGCAGTTTGACTCACGGGGAAGAAAAACTCAATTTCCCTGAGGCAGTTGCATCCCGTGGACCGCACCAAAGGGTGGTTTCGCTTCACCTGGACGACGCTCTCCACTAGCAGTTCCACAAACTCCGACAGCTGAGTGTCGTCCTGAAAACGAGAAGAGTAAACACGAGGCCCTCCTAACTGCTCTCCGCTGCTCACCTACGAAGCAGAAAAATAGGACCCAGTCAACCACCTAACGGCTCGAGAGGGTGTAGGCACATGCGCTAAACAAAACAACACATGTTGCGCAGATATGAGGCACATCCAACAAACAACTTCCTTTGGAGAAAAAAAAAAAAAAATTTACACAACATTGTTTGCCTTATTTTCAATGAATTCTGAATCCCTCAATATATTTTTCAACATAACCCCTTCGATGATTAGGTGTTTCCGTATCATGGCACAAGTTTCTGGATTCCCTCCTCATAGAAGCCTCTCGTCCGAGACTTGAGCCAGCACTGTTGGCATCCACATGAAAACAATTTAAGCTACTGAAGCGTTCTGAAACAATTTTGAAGCTTCAAGGTCGTTTGTTGCAAGATCAGACATTGCAAAGCATAGGTTTTCCAAAACTCTATTCCCTTTCTCCACCGAATCGTTTGTGACCAGAGATGGCCTGCAACTTTGCAATGCATCATGAACATTCAGTCACTCATTGGTGAATATTCAAACCCCTTATATCGCAACACTTAGTCGGGCTCGCTGGATGCTGAACACCATAAGGCCGCCAGTCTCGCAAGTACCGAGAGAGAAAAAGGAAAACAAAAAGGAACTGCTGCTAATAAGCACTTCGAATACATACACGTCACACACACAGGGCCCAATGATGTTCCAACAAGGTAAATATATATGAGGAAGAAAAGGATAATTCAGTACCCCAGTGGTTCTCCAATGGAGGTCCGCAAAGGCATCTTAGGGGTCCGCAAAACTGTGAATTATCAGTCAAAGCCAGCAATAAAAGTTGTATTTTTTAAAATCGAGAAGAAACATTTTTAATCTCGTGAGAGTTTTATCGTATGTCAACGAGAGAAGTATACTTCACATAGTCACTTACTTATATTCATTTATTAAATCATTATCATAATTAACCTCTACCTTTTCCTTCCCCTCACCACAAACGGGGTCCTCTATCATCTCCCCTGATCTACAAGGGGTCCGCGAAAGGTTAATGGTTGAGAACCACTGCAGTACCCAATCGCCAAGTTCCTTTTCATGGTCCAATTTAATGTGGGGTGTTGTTCACAATTTTAATTTTTCTTGTCCCAGGGTTTGAGTGTTTCCCTTTAATATTAATCCCACAATTGTTGCAACCAATCTTATTTCGTTCGCATATGTTAATCAACCTCAATCCCACCGTCGGGTGCTCAGCTCCTCTCTTGCATAAAACTGAGAAACCATAACCATAAACTTTTGGAGTGCTTTAAAGATGGCAACAAAAGGGCACAAGGGTCATTGATGGTGAACTGAGTGCAGCAAAATGACAATGATGACAAGAAGCGGGCAATGGCGATACTGTGTCAAGGCCATCGATGCAGTGGGGTTGGTAGCAGAGCTGGAGCCTGTTGCCATAGCTGTACCACCCTGCTGTCAGGGCTCGACATTTTGATTGGTCCTTCTTGGATGCTTGCATAGATGATTGTTTACCTTTTTTTTACTTGTATTATATGGTTGTGTTACTTGTATTATTGTTATACCTGTACTTGCCCATTTTTTGACCCAACTCCTAGTTGGGCCTTAAATGGCTCATAGCAGTCTAAACAAACAAATAGATAAATATATAAAATAAACAATCTGCTTCATGTATTCACAGGTTCCCTTGGCTTACTGGTCAGCCCACCTCAATTAACCAGCACCTAACTTCCCAGATTCAAGAAGCCATTCTCCGCAATGACCAGAAGACCATCATATACATTCACGACACCGGGGGGGGGGGGGTCAGCGTTTTATGTTTGAGAATCCGCACCCCCCGGCCCATTTCCTTGCCCCAAATTTTTAAATTATTAAAATAGCACGAATTGGACAGGGACGAAAAAAGGGACACGTACGACAGGACTGTCGTATGTGCCCTTTTTGTCCCTCTCTAGTTTGTGCTATTTTAATTGTGTCTAATACGAACCAACTAGCCCAATCAAAAGTCGTGTTACAACATAAACTTTTACACGTGAAGAATTCAAGAGGAGGGTCAGGACATCCTGATCCCCCCCCACCCTCCCCCCTTTTCCTCTGACTGCCACTGATCATCCAGTAGTAATCATTTTGTCAACAGGAATTGCATGAAACATATGTATATGGCTCAAAAGTAAGTGAATGACTTGTATGATCACCATACTCAAAAATTTTTTTTAATGATCGCTTAGCGGCTTAGTGTTATCGACAAGATTACTGATCTGGGATCCAGTCCTACGTCTGTCCTTTTTTCGGAGTGCTGCTCACGTAGTTTGTGTTTGTCCGTTTGTAACATTGCCTACACCAGGCTCCTTTAGCTTGTGGGTCGTTGTCTAGTACTGAGACACTCACCGATGCGTCCGCATTAAGAAGAATGGACGTCACTGTGACTAGGATGTGGCTCTGTAGGTTGTATCTGCTCGTTCTCTTCAGTTGGGAGAAGCAGCTCTTCAGTGACTCCACAGCCTCGTAAGTACTGGAACGTTACCGAGAGGTAATCAACGGTGTCATCTACTCGAAGGGAACAGAAATGAGCGCTCACGTCATCTTCGTCAGGAAATCGTTGCTACCCTCCTGTAGCATAAGCATCAGGTTGATTTGAAGCTGCTCTTCAGCACGATCGTTCATTAAGGCCTGAAATGCACGGGAGATCAATGAACCCGAAAGGTGTTTTGAAAGGGGCACCTCTCGGTTTTCCCACCTTCACAACATCCGAGTAGTGAAACTGGGAACTCTCACTCGCAATCTTGTCCTTCGAAAACACCGCCTGACGAAACTTCACCAGGCTTTGATACCGCTCTTGCTGGGCCATGATTAGGTTGTTTGGGGGGAGTGAGCGGGCTTGGCGGGTACCAACTCAACCTGCGGTTAATTTGACATCACGTGATTTTCCACGCGCAGCGTCGCACGTGTATGATATGACCCAGAGCCGTATAATATGACCAAAGTATGACCCGCCAAACCGCCCAAACAGCACCACACAAAAACACACACACACACACACACACCAGCACGAACAGTTCCAAAGTTTCCAGGTTGGCCAAAATGTGGCGCTACTAGGCTACCAGCCAGCGCTCTGACCAGCGCGTGACCTGCGCGTGACCAGCGCGACACTCCAGCGACAATACTCCAATTTTTTTTTTTTTTTTTTGGGGGGGGGGGGGAGGGGGGGGGGGCGTGTTTGTTTTGCAGACGCTCGTTGCAAAGAGCAAGCGCCGCATAAATAATTATCTTTATGCATACCAACTGGGAAACTCTTCCCTCCTCTTCCTTACCCAACCTCTAACTTCCGGTTTGTGGCAGAGGCGGAATGTGGGCGGGATCGCGCGCTCATCCCCGTTCCGCAAGGAGGTTTAAATGGGGGAACACTGAAAAGCTTTCTGGTTCTGGCCGACTTTTTTTACAGGCGCAGCAGCCCGTCAGCTGCGGCATAGAAAGAAACATCTTGGGAAATTCATGGCGACCGGAAAATTCATGTCGACCGGAAGTCCAAAACCGAAAGCCAGATGTAACTGGACGACTGGTCAACTCTGGGTCAATAGTACGCGCGGCGGCTAATTCAAAGAACGGCGCCACCAGCACCACTTTAAATCTCCCCCCCCCCCCCCCCCCCCCCCCTCCCCTCCCCCTGCCCCCGCGTTTACTGTTCACGCCGCTTCGCTGGCTTCGCGGCGGCAGCGGCAGTCTGCGGCGGCTCATTGCAAAACTGTTAGCTCACCTGAACCTCTGAACTGAACTGGAGTTGTTGCGCGTCTGTTTTCCACGCGCCGCCGCGGGAGCCGGATCAAGCGCAGTTTTCAGGAAAGCAGACGTTGCACGCGGGGCGCGTGCAACGTCTGCTTTCCTCAGCGAGGTGGCTTTCCTGAACTACCTGAACGGCATAGTAGTCGTCGACGGGGCGGCGACTACTGCTACTAACAGGGTTGGGCAGAAATACTCAAAAAATACTGATACTGAAATATATCTGTAAAAGTGTATCGCGATACGTATCGGAAATACATTTTAAATAGAGGCAAGAAGTATTTGGAAATACAAATACAGAAATACATTTTAGGGAGGGCAGAAATACAAATACTGATACTGCAATACATTTTTCAAATTTATTTGAGACAAAATTACATGAAGCTTGGAGTTGGAAGTGGAAGTTTTTGATCCTGAAATTACTTTCCCGTAAGCTTGGCACTTTGCCTTGAAGGCAGTGATTTCGATCGACGAGGAGTCTTCAATGGGCTCAGAAAAATGTTCCATCAAGGACTGAATGTGGTCCCTTCCCTGACATCCTGTCTGCCTGATGAGGGATGCGAAAAGACTTCGACCTCTAAATAAATTCTCCGTCATCCTAAATCCCATCAAAACATCACCATGCCTGTCAAATAAGAACACCCACATTTATCACATGACGTCACGGTGGAATGAACTGGTATCCTTTATCTGTAGGTGGTGGCCTTGACCATGAAACTTTAACACGCTGCTATATGAAAGAACAATACACATTTACGTTGTAGGTTACCTCGTTGAAGATCGTGCAGGATTTTCGAGAATGGTGGACCACCTGAAGCATCCTGGAACACGTCTTATCTTCTGTTACGGTTGAAAAAACGATACGGTGGCATCCCTGTTGTGAAGGTCCTTCCTGCTGACCCTCCGCCACCGACGCATGAATTGCAGTCACCAAGTTTTGCCTTGCATACTCCAAATAGAGACCTCGTGGATTGCGACCTGATATTGCCTGCACAGGTGCGCATTCTCCGAAAAACAGCGCACTCGAGACAAGTCGCAGGTGTACGATGTCTGGGTTGGCACAGCGAGGCTACGTCTGACCATCTTCCTGGGTTTTGGATCACCAAAGCAGCGGGTCATTTTCACGTCGGCTGATGACATACCCTTGAGCCGTGCAATATTACGGGCGCAGCCGCAGCCGCATTCAAATATCTGTTGAACTTCACTGCACGAGTTTGAATTCTCGTGCAGTCTGTTGCGCCACCGCCAGGCTCGTGCTGCAACAGACTGTGACTCAGCTTTGTCAGATGGGTGTATACTGTGTACGCTAAGGCAAGAGAGACGGTTAGCAGCGCGCTTTGGAAGCCCGCAAACAATGACTCAAGAAACCCCTACATAAGCACCTGCGACACAAGATGATCCGACTCCCAGATAGGGGTGTCGCGAACTTTTGTCGAACCAGATTTTTTGGTCGAACTTCCGGGGTTCGACTGAGTCGAACCGGTTCGACGAACCTTCGAACTTTTCACCAGATTCGACCGGTTCGACTTTATGGACAGTGTGGCCAGACCTTAATACAAGCATGTCTAGGTTTGGAGAATTTTTTTTTTTTTTTATGCAAGGGGTTATTTTATTTTGTGAACAGCTGCAACTAAAAGAAACTAATTCTAATCACTGAAGAAGTTAATAACTTAATTTTTAGTACTGTATTGACTGAAATAGCCAATCAGCTCTGCACTTAATTCATCTCTCAGCCATTACCATTCAATCCGAAGCCAACTGGCCAGCCTGTGGCGCATGTGCACACGAGTCGAACCTCAATACAAGGTTCGTCGAACCTTTCATTAAAAGTTCGAAAAAGTCGAACCTGGTCGAACTCGAACCGCGACCGGTTCGCGACACCCCAACTCCCAGAGCCGTGTCCGACTCCACTACTGGCACGCCACCTGGTTCGATTGCCCGACTGCGCAACAGTTCTCAGAAGTGAGAAGAGGACGCATAGAAAAATAGTTTGGAGAATCCGAAGGAACCTTGGTCAGCATGCTAACATGCCCTAGCATCTCATTGACCCTAGTACCCTCAAAAGTAAAAAAAAAGCTCTGATTGGCTGTGATAGTAGGATAGTGGGCAGACCTCTTATTTATTTATTTTTTTTTTTGTGGGGAGGGGGGGAGTATTTTTTAAGAAATGTTACGAAATACATTCCACCCCGATTGTATCGCGATACAAAGGAACATTCAAAATGTATTTCGATACAGGAATACAGATACTGGTGAAAAAAATTATCGCGATACAGAAATATAGATACGAAATGTATTCCTAAAACACTATCGCGATACATTTGTATCGCGATACTGCCCAACCCCGACTACTAAGCGTTGTGAGTGAAGATATTGTGTGTGTGTGTGGGAGAGAGAGAGGGGGGGGGGGCAATTGTGGATCGTTCTCCTGCTTTTGAACGCGCCGCTATTCGCCGAATTCAGTCACGTGAGGAGCAGTATCAACATGCCGTGCAGGAAAGACGGCGCTACGGAGATGAACGCGCAGCTCTGGCTCCCGTAGGGAGCTTATACAGGAACTCTAACCTGAACCATCGATACACGCTGCTTCGTGACGGCAGAATTCACTCAAAGGAGGCTCGTCGACTTTTTTCCTAAACTGTTTCTCTATAAAGGAATTCGATAAACTGGGATCGGTAAAACGGTGTTCGCTAAAACAAGCTTCTCCAAACCGCATGCCTCCGGCCGCATGCGGCAATATTGCTGCTTCGATTATTTGATTACAGAGTGGGAAGTGCTCTTTTCTATTTTTTGCTTAAATTACGTCTCCTATGCCCACTGTTCATGAAATGTTTGGCCAGTGCAGTAAGCCTGCTAACCTGGGACCTTTAGCATGAATCATGTTGTTTTATCCTCACTTTAAAAAAGTGAGTTTTATGCAATTTTATACCACACCTCAATGGCACATTGCAATGTCATACCATATGAGACAGGTGTCTTGCGATTAATTTAAAGTGTATTCAATTCACTTAGCCCACATGGATATACGTGGCATCATGGGCATATCACAGTAACTAAGAACAGCATAGTACATTCTGCTATCCACACCCGCCACTACCAATTCTGCTAAAACAAATAGCAGTCTTTTTTTTGTAGCGTGAGCTACACTGGCCGAGGTTGAGCACTTTCGTGTGGCTCCCAAAGAGCCGTGCTCCGCATGCATGAGGAGCAGCGACGTCACACGGCGCACAGCTAGCGCGCCGGAGCTGCCGCCGCTGCGTGCCCAGCTATGCGCCTCCATTGCGCAGTAGCTAAGTCTGATGCTGCACCGGAGCCGCTTGATAACGCCTCATTTTGTGCGCATAAGCTCACGCTACGTATATTCTGGCATAGCCGAGCTAAGCCACCGCAATTTTTTTTTTCTTCGTACTCGGAATTCGTGTTTGACAGGTTTTGACACGACAATTCTCTTTGCACAATCCAGCATTTTATTTGTATCTATTTCCCATGGGCACGACTCCACCACAGCATTTCGGGCAAAAAAGAGGTCAACACACCCTGGTACTCCACCTAAAGTTATGTGCAGCACAATCAAAAGCTCCAGCAACGACAACATTGCCCTGCCAAATGCAATGCTTTGCAAGCACTCGTGGAAGGAAGGCGGTTTTTTAAAACTGTCCACTTGTACCTGTGCCTTCTGCAAGGCTGCACCCAACTTCTTTGAGATGGAGTAGACTGCATCACAGTATTTTATGGACTCTTAAAAGCAAGCATTGAAGCCCACTTGAACTGGGCCCACAGAACAAAATAACTGATGCAATGAAATAATTCTCATTTCCATGCAACTTCCATACTTCAATGTAGATTTAATGGTTATGGAAATGTATGCTAGTACTAAGAATGTTTTGTGAACAAGAACTTGGAAACTTGTTCGTCACAGTCCAAGCTTCTTCACGGCGTCTTCTGCCCGTCATTGACGAGATGTCCCAAGGAAGGGAAGGTGCTTTTCTTTCCACACTGCCTCCAAAGGCAGGTGGCATGCCACACGGCCCCTTCTCAACACACACTGTGGCCTTCACGTCGTTACTTTTATCCAGGTGTGTGGAATACCGCCGTATTGTGCACTTGACCAACGTCTCGCAAGAATGCACTTCCGGTAAACACTTTAAAAACATGTCTAATAACAATGTACTGGTAGAATGCAAATCGCTATGATTAATGCCACGCTTCCAAAATACTTTTCAAACCGCGGTTACAAATTTTGCAAGAAGAATAACATAAAAGTGTGTCGCAAACTGATTTAAATATTCGGCATTATCAGTCCCCACTGAAAATTTACCGGACTAGTACAAACAAATTTGTCGGTCCGAGTTGACACAACTTTAACAACGCTACTGTTTCTCGAGAGAATCATAACAAAAACAATTTTGCGGACTATGAAGAGCAGGTGAACAGAGCAGTCCATGCTTTGTACGTTGTTTGCACCCGTGCATTCTTTTTTACAGGTTTTCAATGTTCACAGAAAACTCCAGTTTGGCACCCCCTTTGAGCCGGGCATCTTTCAACACTTTAGGAGAAAACGAGCTCAATGATCATGCAACTGCGAACTTCTCCAGTCTTAACAAGACAAAACGGGAGCGCGTCTGCATCGTCCACAAACTTGCTGTCGCTAGAGCCGCACAAATTGCTGCAAAGCCCAGGTGCCTTGGAGCTAGCAGAGAGACCCGCGTTGGACGTCCCCCACAATCTCCACCCTTCAGTGAGGTCCAGAAACACCGTCGTGAGAGAAGCGGCGGCACCGCCATGCAACAACTGCTCAGCGTGGTCGGTCAGGGGCCGAGCTTGCCCGGGTGAGGCGGGCAATCTCCTGGCCGAGGGTGTCCATGCTCTCCTTGAGCGTGATGTTCTTAAGCAGGGTGTCCTCGAGCACCAGCTGCAGCTTGCGGTTCATCTCAAGCGAGAGTTCCAGCGTCATGCCGGCGTCCAGGGGTTGGCTGCCAAAGACCGATGCCATGATGCCGCCGCGGCGTGCCAGCTCCTCCTGCGAGAGGGAACCGTGTCGCCTGGGGCGTCCCTGCCCGCTCGCCCCAGTCCCCCCCATTACCTGCTGTGCGTCCCCACAGAGGGCATGTGGAGAGACAAAGGAGTTTGTGGCCTTAGGGGGCCGATGCCGGCCCACAGCCTCACCTTGTTGCAGTCCATGCTGCTAGGGATCAGGGCACCCGCCTCCTCCCGGGCCACATAGTTCTGGATGATCCTGTGGTGCAATGAGAGCATGCCTCAGCCTCTGGCTCCAAGGCTGGCTGTGCGTCTGCCGTCCACCGCAGTCGCTCAATGTTCTCGCTAAACGAGCGGACGGAGGAAGACTCGTCTCCGTTGGAAAGGATGCATTAATTTTTCTAAATGCATCTTCACCCTTCCTTATGGATGCAAGTGCAAAGGAACTCAAGCGAGCATCCGGAAATTATTGTTCCGTCAAACGACGATGAGAGCGGCGGTGCGCGATCGAGGAAAGAGGACCGTGCTAATGGATGCCGCAAATCATGCTCGTGGTAGACACCACCTACGCGAACGGGTCGTGCCGTAAAAAAGCATAGCTGAATGCAGGCAAGTTGAGAGATGTCTGCCACTGGTGCTCCGAACGCTTTGGGGAACATGCACCATTGGTGCCCCGAGGAAGGTGGGACCTGGCCTACCTGGACTTGTTCTTGAGCTCAAGTAGCAGGTGCCCCACATGCTCCTCGAGGAAGTCCAGCTTGTCCTTCTTTCGGGCCAGGCTCTTCTGCAGCCGCACTATGCGCTCCAGCAGCATCTGCACGTCTGGCTGCACCTCGGACCCTGTACTGGCCTGTCCCGGAGGATGCGCCCTTCAGACCTCTGGACCCCGCCACTGGGTGCCTTGTGTGCAATCTATCCTAAAGACTCACCCAGTGATCAGATAAAACGAGCGTGCAAATTCATGCAATTCCCACTTAAGAGTTGCAAATATCGCTCCAGTTGGTCCCATGACCGTGTTAGTCGCGCAAAGTTTTGAAAACCCTCAGGCGACTAACTCCACTTGTACGGGAGGAAGCGAATCAGCTCTTACGATGCCCCCCTTCTGGCCTCACAATTTTTTCGCCATCAGCTATGCTGATGTTGATTTTATCCCTTGCACTGGAGATTGTGTGATTAAGATGTCTGAGGAAGGCTATCCTTCCTCATGTGCTACAATCAAATGCCAAAATTCGAAATTTGCGTAGTAGAATGTTGTTTGAGGCAATCAACAGTAGCAGAGAACAAAAGTGTACACTTATAGAATTCATGAACTTTTGAAAAAAAAAAAAAGGGTGAAGACAAAATAAAAACAAACAGGACCGACTAAAGGAACAACATCTGACCAAAGAGAAAACCAACAATCAAGAGAGGCAAGTCTCAGATTTTCTTGTACACAAAATAAATAAATTAGTTACTTAAAGGCCCCTGAAATGAAAAAAAAAGTTTTTTTTTTAAACAATCTGGTTGGGACACGCATGTCACAAAATGCATTTTTACATGAAATTTTTTTTTTTTTTTTTTTTAGATTAATATTGACGGCGCCAGACACGATTTAGTTGGTAGTCACCTCCCCCCTTTCCACTTGTTTTCTCTCTCGGTATTTCAGGTGCATGGAGGAGGTGGATCGGTTTTGCCTTCACGTTGAGGTGGAAAGACCGAATGACCATCTCGTTGAACAAATGACCATTCCGTGGCGTCATCGACTTTGCGCGCAGAATTGTAAATATTTACTGTCAATGTTGCTCTAAATTTTTTTTTTTTTTTGCATAAATTTTATTTTTGACATGCGTGTGTCCCAACCGAACTGTTTAAAAAAAAAGTTTCTTCGTTTCAGGGGCCCTTTAAAAGGCAACTCCTGTCGAAAGCGAAACCAAAATAAATTACTGGCATCGCTGTAGTGGCACGAATTATGATCGCAACCGGAATATTACGTCAAAGTGAAGCCGCATACTCCACTAAAACCGATTTTAAAATGCAACCAGATGCTCTTTAGCGGGTGCGAAGCAGCAAGAAGACAAATGGGAGCTAATGTTATTTCCTTCTTCCACCACCCGTTTCTCCGTCATACTGGACCGCACCACTATTTGATAATTTCATAAAAAAAAAAAAAAAAAAAAGAATGCTTAGCTAAATGTCCGTCACTGTAGTACGGGTCCCCATCGTTTCGTGGAAACACGCTTTCTGGACAATTTTTCGTGGATACAAGGTTCGTCGACACTGTATGTTTAGTCAACAACTTTATTATTTTTTTTTAAACTAAGCCGCTAAAAGCTAGCGCGCTATTCACTGAGGCGTGTTTACTAGTGATAGGCCGAATGTTTGCTGAATCGAAAATTCGGCGGACGAATCTTGGGGTTCAACAAAGCCAAACTTTTCTAGAGATTCAGCAAAGATTCGGCAAAAATACATTGTTACCAGACTTAATGCTGATATTTTGTTTTTTCTGGCGAAAAAAGGTTTTATGTTGTATTTTTCTTAACTTAAATGCAACATGTAATGCATATTGACACAGTTAATACTAAGTAAGGTGATATACGACAAGATAACTGCATCGGTGTTGTATTTGTGTGTTTACTGGCAATTTTAGTGACTTCTTGCAGAAGCGGCGTAACAATGAGGTTGGGTAGTAGCGAGCGCAGTCACGAATCATGCTACAAGAGTTCCGGTTTTGACGCCTCATCACGCAAGCCTGCAAGTGTGCGTGGTGTACATTGTTAATGCAAAGGCTGCGTTCTTACTTTCTGTGGAAGTCACCGTTTCGTGCGCAAAAACGAATGCAACGGTTACTGAGCGTTCACCAGAAAAGATAACAATATTATTGTCAATAAGCATGTTTTTCGATTTGAGTCGCATGACGTCAGCTTAGCATGAAAGTGTGTGTCCCATATTCGCAACGTCTCGTTTTTAACCTTTAAAATGCCAGTTTCTAGTGTTAGGACACACACTGACATTTAGAAAGATGGGAAAAGTTAGGAATGTCGGATGTGTAACGTTGAGCATGATAGTTCTCTGTTTATTTTTATGCAGATACATGAAAACTGCGAAATAACACTAATTAAAAATCAATATTATTTTTTGGGGCACAAGCTCTTGTGAGCCGAAAAGAGGATTGTTATAATCGCAACGAGTGCTTTAAAGTAATTGTCAGTCCATGCTTCAACTACCCCGTTGCATCGCTAAAAAGGTCAAAGGAAGATCACATTATCCAGAATATACCGCATCATTTCACTCACAAAGGCTCACAAAAGCACAGTTACCGTGTTGCCAACTCCACACCTCGCCTTAACCGCTGGTTGTACTACTACATTGTACGATGGTAACTCCACGACCACACGGCGTCTATTTGCGGTCCATGGCCCCGTCGCGTTCTCGTGCGTGTTCGGACATATGCCAAATTTTCGCTGAACTTTCCCTCAAAAGTTTGGCATATGCCGAACTTTGCCGAATCCGAAGTTCGGCAGATTCAGTCGATCACCAGTGTTTACCCAAGCCTCGGGCACCTCCCCTCCTCTCTCTCTCTCCCTTGTGAACCAGACAAAATGCAAAAACTTTGTTGCTAAAATGGCAGCTGGTTGTGTTCGACGGAACGTCGCAAGGTCTGTCGATGAAACGAAGGCGAGGCGGGCAGCCTTTTGATGAAACAAACTGTCAATGAAATGTCGCATGTCGACGAAACGATCTGCCAATGAAATGTCGTTCGATGAACTGATTGCCACCACGTAGTGGCAGGGCATTGCCTTCTGCCGTCCTTTGGCTCCGCATGCATCGGTCCACGAGTCGCCAAAGCGTTATCGAAGGCAGAAAACAAACACACGCTGGAGGCGAGACATTTGAAACCCCCTCCTCCCCCCCCCCCTCTGCCGTTCTCATCTCATCAGTAACTACAAAAAAAAATTTTTTTTTTAACTGAGGCAAGCTTATGTTTTTATGCTTTCGAACGGGCACCTCCGTAATAAATCGTTGCACGATACTTTAAAGAACCGATTTACGCAGTCCGTTCAGACCAACGCGCCACTGGGTTCACGCTCCACAGGCCTCGTGTTCCTTGATCTCTTACCCCTTAACTTAAAAAAATTAATGAAATAAAATAAAAAAAGGTATCCAAAACCTGAAAGAATTTTAAGAAGGACTTCTAAGAAAGGAAAAAAACAAAACAAAAACAGTCGAACAGTAAAAATTTGGCCGTGAATATGGCCTGTACGCTTCTGCGGGAGTGAGCGCTTGATGTGTACGTCATGCAATCTCCAAAATGTTTATAGCAGACGCCCGTACGGACACAAAATTGGCACTTTGACGGTAAATTACGATAGTCATAAACACGCACAAAAATAAATAATGCTATCAACGCGCTAATAAGATTCCTTATTTATCAATCTGTACATCGTCAGCTCATGACATAATTGACACGTATGTCCAGGGATGGAACCGGGCAAAGCAGCTTTGGAGCAATCTTGGGAGCAGAAAAATTTTGGAGCAGGCTGGGAGCAGCATACGAGTTTTAAGAATGTTAAAATAAAAGCTAAATGTCACCTGGTTTTTAATACTAAAGAAAATATGGCATGCAAGTAATTTCATGTGAACTTAACGGCAGTTTGAACAAACTTTTTGTTGCAAATATTTTTCACAAAATTACGTGCAAATTACACAAAACATATGAGGCAAAACTGGACATGACAGTGTGACACGTGACAAAACCAACTTGCAAAGAGAGAAATATAAACAAGTACAAATAGCTTTCATTGCTCAGCACTGACTAGTAAGGTGTACCGAAAATTAAAAATACAGGCACAAAAATTATCTTTCATTTTTCAGTGACTATATCCGTTTTCACCTGAAGAAAAAAAGAAGTTTTGCTCAATGTTCATACGTTGCGCAAAGCAGTTCTCACAAGATTTGGTTGCCGGAGGCAGAAGCAATGCTTTTGGCGTTTGAAACATGTATGTCTTGATAAGGTAACATATATCTTATCTAAAATGCACCTACACATACCTCAATTTTCAGCATAAAGAGGGAAATTAGTAATGCTCTGCGAGAAGCCATACTTTTTTTACTAAGGTTCTTGAGGAGAAAACGGGTATAGAATAAGATAATAAATGCCCTTGTACATATAAACCTATTGGAACTTCGTCAATTACTACTCACGGATACACTTCTCTTTTTCGAGATTCTGAGCCAATTTCGCATTAGCCTCCGCTAACAGCACTTGTCCAGACTCAATCCTCTCCATCACCTTTTCCTTTTCATTTTTTTTAGACTTGACTCAATCAATGACTGCGCAAGCTCAAGCATAGTTTGCGCGAACAGATGATGCATGTTCAAGCTGTTGCTCTTCTTCCTGGAGACGAGCTCTCTTCGTACTCGCATCACTGTTCTTCCTATTATTCCTCTCGTCGTCTTGCTTTTCGACCTCTAGCCTTTCTGTGTAAACTTTATGAGACTTCTTCCCAGCTTGCAGCAAATCAGCTGTCAAAGGTACTTTCGTGACATCACCGTCAAATCGCTTCAAAGTCATCTGGCAGCTCGTACCTTGCTCCGTCATACGCCTCACTGCTTGCTCGCCTCTGTTCCCAAGTTCTCTACACGGGGCCGCGGCACACGTTTGCTCTACTACTCAGATCTTCAGATGAGGTGACTCCAGGGCTTCAAAAAAGCACGGTGAGCATGCAGCAAAGGCAGCTCACATTGGCGGCAGCAACCTTCACATAGTGATATTTTTTTTTTATTCGGATCCACTGGCGTCTTATTTGGGCCGGAAGCTCCGGTGTCAATGTTGCCAACAGAAACTGCGAGATGGCTAATTTCGACAAAGCTCGGTTTATAATTTCCATTAGGGCGCACCTTGGCACAATTTTGTTCTTATTTATACTTTTGTATCAGTGTGGTGCATGAAAAGTCATTAGGTGCGCAGTGGTGCAATTGGCGCAGCAGTTCCATCCCGGTATTGCCCAGATACACTCCAAACTTTCTCCCTTTGGGTGTAGCTGCTTGGATATCTCGAGCTTGGATGCCAGGATGGCGCATCTGCCATGCAAAGTCTATTCCCGACAAAGCCAGCAAGAGAGTGGCCGCAGGCACGCACCGGGAGATCGTGGCGGCCCGTGTTCACAAAGCCCACCAGCGGCTGGCTGCTGGGCTGACTGCTGGGCTGGCTACTTGGCTCTGGGGACGAGGCATCTTGCGTCGAAGCCGCTTCCTGCTGCCGCTCCAGCTGCCGCTTGACGTGCTGCAGCTCCCGTGCCAGCTCCTGCAATTGGGACACCGCTCCCAAAGTGCCGCCAAAGTGTCGCCCCAGTCGCTCGAGGCCAAAGCCCAAGGGGCGCGCTTTGTTTCTTCCTCGAGCCGGAGCAAAAACAAAGGCCCTAGCTTTAGCAGTAGCACTTCTGCCTCGGCAGAGTCGATGCAGCTAAGGAAGCAATCGACAGCACCAGATGCCCCGCCGGCACTGGCTGTCAACCGCGGAGAGGTGCGAGACGCACCTTGACGCTCGACAGGTGCCTGCGCTGCATCACCCGCTGCTCGTTGTCTGCCTCCTCTAGCCGCACAGTCAGCTTATCCGCTGCAACGAGAGCGAGTCACGGTCCCGCCCGGCGAGCCCCGGGCAACCTTACCTGCCCGGCACTTGTCCGCCAGCTTGCGGGTCAACAGCTGCGTTTCGTGGTGCCGCTGGCGTTGTTCCCGCTCCAGGCTGGCCTCCTGCGAACAGCATCACCGAGCAAGCCATTGCTCCGCTGAATATGGCATTCTCTGTCTTCATTTGGTAGCACATACTGGTCTTCCGTCAGTTTGTAAAATAACCGTATCCATTTTGCAAAAAAAAAAAAAAAAATTAAACTTGTCTCGATTATTCCGATAATCTTGGCGAGCACAGAATGTGTGTTGCATGCATTATGCTTGTGTTACAATTTTATTATGCTTGGTTATGGGGAGCTTTCGGTGGTTTCGGATGCGTTGCACACATGACACTCATGTGCTCCCCAGATTTATCAAAACTCGTCGAGTTTTTATTTATTCAGGAGTGGAGGGTGTGAGGAGTGTGCTTTAATGAGAAGTCTCCACGAGTCCTGCTTCTCTTGAAGGTGTGTATAGCACATTGAGATCTTCGTGCTCTTGGGTTACCAGGCCCCTCGTGGTAACTGAAATAATTTACTTAAGTCATAATGTCCAACTACGTCTATAGAACTTTTGCCCTTGGTTGTGGACATGCTGGGTCGGTTTTGCGTGATGAGCTCGAATCGCTCGTACATGAGCTCTGGGAATCACAAGCTCTTGGGATCCAAGACGTCGACATGGTCAAGATTGTGCGATGTTCTGCCTGGAGTGGGATGTGTTTCATTCTGCAGGCAGTGGTATCAAGTATGTCATGTGAAGCCTTATCGGGGAGGAGAAGAGATTTGTTGGACCCACTACGCTAACCAATGGCTGCTGCGAAATAATGACATTGGACACCCACTGCACTATCCGTTGGTGCGTTACGATCCACCCTGTGGCGTCATGAGACCGCAAGGGGAGCTACGCTTCGTCATTTGAGAGCCAGCTGCGAGCGCCAATTGTTGTTGCTACTGCAGACTCTCGTGAGTCATACTTAGTTCAGCTGCTTGCACAACGTTGGTGCCACGGATCGCATGGTCCGGGGTTCAATTTCCGCTCGGCTGCTCGATACATACTGCTAATTAAGATTAATTAAGCTTAATTCTAGTTGAGGCTAAATACGCCCTCTACGTGCTTTGTGTGCTTATGCATTGCCTGTTATATGCCACATATGCATTATGTTGCCTCAGACTACATGTGATCGTTTTTCGTTATGCACGTGTAATGCTTTTCACATGAAATCCAGCCCTTTTAACAGATTCTGCATTAAAACTATCAAAGGTTTTGGAGAATGGAGTTTTCTATTTGTAGTCGCGGGCAAGAGGCACCTTTTGCTACGATTCAGTCGTATATTTCGTACGAGAGTTGCTAAACGGCCATGATGTCACGTGGTGAAGGCGTCGTCCACTCACCAGCTCTGCCTTGTCACGTTGCACACAAGCCAGCTGCTGCTCCAGCTGCACCTTCTCCTCCTCCAGGCCCTGCAACTACACCAGATTCCCTGGCATGCTTCCATCTCCCTGGGAAGGCCAGTTTCCCGACCCCACCTCCCGGTGCCTTCAAGCGACTAAACTGCTAGAGGGCAGTTCTCTCGGACATGCCACATAACTCACCGGTGGGAGGGGGAGACGGCCAGATATGCACCTTTCTTCCGCTTGCTCTTTAACCCTTTGAGTGCTGCGCCCGAGTATACTCGGTCGTGCTCCCGTGTGGTTTTGGTTTGCTCCCTGCCCCTCCCAACTGGGCTGTCACTTTTTTTTTTTGTTGTTGTTGTTAATGTGTAGCAGCATGTATGAACAAGCGATAAAAACAATGTTTTACAGTAGGCTCGCGATAATTCATATTTCGATATTTCCTACTTCTAATTAATTCAAACAAATTTTTAAATTTTTGTTGTCTGTCCTCCTATTTTTTTAGTGTATTCATAACCCGCTCATTTCAAACAGTATTTTCGTGTAATTCATACTTTTTCTTCTCGCAGCCCCATTGAGTGTGCTTCTTTCCGAGCACCGGTACACCGCAGAAGGGCAACTGCTTTTGCAGGTGTCGCTTCTTTGCAGTGCACCAGTGCTCGGTAAGATGCGCACTCAACGCGGCGGCGTGGCATAGGTCCATGTCGCAGCGTCCATGCAAATTGCTATAAAAACTGCCGTGCAGTGCCCAGTTTTCACTGTTCATGTGTCCCTGCTTAAAGGGGCACTAAAGAGGATTCTGCATGAAATGAATTTTGGGGTCGGATAAATGAATTTAGATTGGGATTTTACGAATAGCATATCATTTAGTGGGCCAAAAGGAAGAAAGTCAGAAGGTACAAAAATTTGAAAACATAGCAAACTATTTTGTACCTCCTTTCCTTCGAATACTCTCTGCCCTTTCACTGTGATACATCTGCGGTACCCAAAGGATGTCACCCGTCCCCAAACACGACACCCAGCCTCACTCTAGTCCGTTCACCCCCGAGCTGAAAGTGCAGTGCGAGTTACGTGCTTGCCGGAGTAATCAGCCGCCTCCCTTTCATCACCTGACCCAATCCTCTGCACAAAGGGTTGTTCGAGGGAGCGTGATCATGTGGCTGGCCCAACGAGCATGTAGCTTCCATAGCCACGGGTGGTACGGAGGGGGGAGGGGAGGGGGGGCAACTTTTGTTCAGAGTTTGAGCGATGGACTAACCTTCACTAATCTTCTAGGGGAAGAATGGGGACGTCCAGGTACACACAAACGAGGGTTCAAGCAAGAAGAAAGTTCCTCCTTTCCATCCTCTTGAACTGTTTGGTAACGCTACGCGAATTGTGAGTTGAGGAGGAGAGCTAAGTAAAAAGTAGTTGAAAAATTGTTTCATGGCCCCTTTAAAGTCCAGATTAGACAACTTCTTGGCCTGATGAACAAACTTAATTTTGTTTTGAGTTGTCATGTGCTGTCTAAAGAGTGCACAATAAACAACATTTTTGAGAGATAAACTTATGTTATATATTTCACAAATGTTTTATGTGTGGCATACTTGCATATGAGTAGGCCTATCCAAAGGAAATCATCAAATATCTGATTTGTATAGCTTGTAGCCATTCATATGGGAAATCATTATTTTATTTTTCCTCATATTTAGATGAATTTCTGATAATTCAAACAAAATTTGTGGCATCCTGGAGTTTGAATTAATGGGACTCTACTGTATCTTGTAGTGTCACGTTTTGATGGCATGTCATTTTCTTCTTGTTTAGGCGACTTCTGTTTCGGCATGCTCCCTCATTGTTACAGAATGGCAAATTTATGTCGTTCAAACCTTGCGCTTCATGGCGAACACTGAGATCTAGAAATTACTAATAGACTCGGTATTTGACGACTGCAAAAATAAGAAAGTTAGAGTTTGAAATATACAAAAGCTGAGTTAGACAGCCAAAAGAGTGACCTCAGGGTGCGAGGTCGAGGTGCCATTACAAAGTAGTACCGTGTTTCAAAAAGTAGAATACAAGAAATATGTCTGCATGCCTGCAGCATGCAGACATCAAAAAACTTTTTGCCCATAAAACAGTGTTTTTGCCCATAAAACAGTGCGTCTTTTATAAAATAATATTCGTCAGAGCATGCTACAATGTTACAGAGACAAAAATTTGGTTCAGCATGCCGGAAATTATTTTGGCAGTTAAAAGGTTAATCCCTTAACCGTTTTGGACGAGCCTAGCTCGTCCATCTCGAGCCGTCCCCAAACCGTTTAGGACTAGTGTAGCTCGTCTGTCCTGCATCGTTCGTCCCTTCGCCATTTTAGACGACCCAGGCTCGTTCATAAAGCTGTTTGTGATGCTGCCGACAGATGGCAGCACAGGAACGGCAATTTTGCGTCTGTTTTGTTTGTGTTTTGTCTTTTTCTTCTTTAGAAGACAAGATTGAAAAATAACGTCCGGGGGTGGTGACACGTGTGGCCCAGGCCCATTCAAAGGGAAAAGAAATGCTTCTTTTGAGGAAGACTTCGATAGCGACATGGATACTGACGTCTACTTCTGTTCTTCAAGTGAAGAAGACAGTGATTATGTCGTCGAACTCAGCAGCTCCTCGGACGAAGCGGAGGACAACGACGATCCAGATTGCGCTATTGCCAATGCTTGGCAGGGTCGAAAATCGATATGAGCAATGTTCCACCAGCACCCCCTCGGTTCCCTTTTCTTGGCAGCCCGGATAAGATATGTTCGGTCCAATCAACCACTGACGTGCTTGAGTACTTTGAAGCTTTTCTGGACAACGGCTTGGTCGATACGCTGAGCAAAAACTCAACGCAAGCCAACTCAGCGAGCATCCTCACCTCAAGAAATGGGTACCAACAACAACAGAGGAGATGCAGGTATTCTTGTCGGTCCTGCTGTTGCAAGGAATTGTGCAAAAACCAGAGCAAGTGTGGTGCTGGTCGAAGAACAAGCTTCTGCACACGCCCATCTTTCGAGAAGTGATGAGCGGTAACCGGTACCAGCTCAATCATGAGGAAGCTTTTTCTTAGCACGAGTTAGTTGAACATGTCCCAAAAACAAAGCAATTACAATCAACTTCAATAAAATGTTTCTGTTTGCTCTGTCGTTCAATCATATTAGGACTTTATGCTTGGAGAAACTGAAATCATAAGATAAGAAGATATAAAAAAGGTGGCTTAGGGTTAAAAATTGTCAAAAATCAAAAACGGTTAAGGGGTTAATATGCAATAAAAGTCATATGCAGGTCATTACTTCCACCCCCTTCGAAATTATTTCTTCCAAAAAAGCATGATTTTAATTGAACAGAGCAATCCGCTACAGTCCATTACAGACTAATGACCTCCTATAATGAGATAGTGATAAGAAAAATAAATATGACCAGACAATCTGACAATAATTCTGTGAGTTTGCAACAGTGTTATTTTTACACATGGATTTTAGAAAATATGGACCAAAAGCAAATATACTTGTTAAAAAAAAAAAAACACTTTGAAACTTATTTATGAGAGCATGGCTAAAACCTGTAGCTAGCACTTGATAAAAAAAAATTAAAATGAGAAAATCTCACATTTATTTGTAGCTTCTCATCATCCTTACTGCCTGGAGTGAACACTGAGAGCAAACTTGCATCTCTCCCAACGTTTTTCAGCTGTGTATCAGGACAGAGTTCTGTTGGGTCTTGTCCCCAACAGATCACGAGGTTTGGGACAGTACTAGGTCCTGTCTTGGAACTCTTCACTTGCTCAAAACAATTTAAAAATATTGAAAAAAAAAAAAAAAAAAAAATAGGGCAGTTTCACAACAAACTTATTTATTTCTGGTACATAATTTACAAGCATGCTGGTAAACCTTTTCTGCCATTGCCCCTATTGTTCATACAAGTAATTTTTGATGCTGGTAAAATGCAGAGTGGCTCCGTATACAACAGAACTGAAGAAGTAGAGCCAGGGACATGTTCTAGTCGCACCAATCCACGCTTCAGAGTCACCTCAGAGGCACTCACCGGGGCCACCTTGACCATTGCAGAGCAGACTCTTGCCTGCTCGTCTTAACTCAGAATGAAGACCGATATATATAAAAATCGACTACCAGCCAATGTTCCTTTGTTTCTGACTACCTAAGCTGGTGCAAATGATTACAATGAAAATTAATTCTCGAGCAAGCTGGAACACTGCCTCCATGCATAAAACTCGTGGGGCAAACGTCCCCAGCATGAATTCCCGTGAGGCATCGAAACGGAAGCATGTCACGTGGAACCATACCATATGCAACATGTTTGAAAATACAGTATAAACTCATTATAACAGACCGAGAGTGACGAGGATTTTAGTCTAAAGTAAAAGGACGCAATTACTTTTACTACACTTTGACGGGGATTAAGACTGGAGTCTGTTCTAACCAGCGAGACTCACAAAATGAGAATGGATATTAGAAAAGTATGGGTTTATTGAAACTTCTGGACTTGAAAATGCGGCAATTTTTTTATTGAGCTGCACCAATGATCGTTATCACTGCATGCCTTGGGTCATACGAGGCTCGCAAGGTACCAATCGCGATGACAGCAGTTTGCAAAATGGACGCCACCACTACATACATAAATACTTTAGTAGTACTACTACCGTACCAGTCGCCTAAAGTCACAAATAATGACTGCTGTCCAAGAGTCTGCTATAACGGAATAGTGAGCTACTTACAAACTCCCTAATACACATCCAAATGTATGTTATAACAGAATCCGTAATAAGCCAAGTTGGCTCAACGGCATACAGTAATCCCTCGTTATAATGAAATTGCTTTTTACGAATTATCGCTTTCCTTGAAGTTCAACATGGTCCCAATTAAAGAGCAAGCATTGTTAACCGGATTTTTTGAAGAAGTGTATCGGCGGCCGACCACGCTCATTACGAAGGCCGAGGTGCCGAAAGCATGCAAGCCTACACAAAGGCGCACGGGAGACCTTTGCATTCCCTTTCCCTTCTCCCTCAAGGCCAACAGACAACTGGGAAAACAGAGTAAATGGGTGACGGAGGGCAGAGCGCGCAGAGCTGGCAGAGCGCCGCTTCCGATGCCACTGCGCCGGCGCAGGGACGCGGACAGGGAGCAGCATCAACGTTCCGACACTACTTACAGCGCCCGCGGCCGACGCTGCCCGACTCCTGTCGGAATTGGGTCAAGGGAGCGATGGAGCCTGAAGGAGATTATCCCTTCGGGAGCCCCGACACGCGAGCCTGCGGCGTACCAGACGCACACGTGCATCGTATTCGCGACTCCAGCGACCTACAGGGGGCGCCACCACCAAACAAACATGGCGGCTGAGTCCAGGTCGCGTCAGCTCGACCGGGCCGCCTGAACAGGTGGCGCGTTCAATTTAACAGATTTTCTTTTGTTTAATGCCCAATTTTATAGGTATTTGAACTGAGACGGTTAAGTGTAGCCGGTGCACATAAACTTGCAGAGCATAGTTTTGTTTTCCAATTGTGCTTTTTGTTCTTTTCATGTCAAACTTTCGTTTCGGAGATTTCGTTCGAAACCGAAACTATGGGCTCTAGAGAGACGGTAATGTACTAATCAGTTTTGATCATCTAAGGAAAGCGGCAATAAATGCAGAATTCTCCCACCGACAGTAATTTTCAGCCAACTCGCATGCCTCGACCATGTGACTTATCTGTCCGCGAAATCGAGCTTTTGTGCGTATCCGCGTTTAAGAAACAGCTTCAGTCGTATGCTCAGTCAACAACACCGGCTGCAGGAAAATTACGAAAATTAAGCAAGCGCTTCTTGAGCCAAGGAGCATGTTAACCCGCCGGCACCCCACTAAGCAGCTGATACTCGTATTTCAATTCAGGTTTTAGTAGCAATCGAGAAGTTATTTTGACGAGCGGGTTATGTATTATATTACGTACTATGTCCCACTAAAGCGATATTAGTATATTCTTCGGTTTGAAATATGAGCTTAGTTAACTAGCTATTAGGTGAACTGCTGAATAAAAATATATTTGACAGACAGAGAGATACTAAGTTAAACTTAACCAAATGGTTCTAGCCGGTAGCACGGAGACGAATGCGGACAAACTGAAGAGAGTCTTCAATGGAGATTCACGCAGAACCTCTCTGCATTGAACTTGACTTCGAATCCTGAACAGAAAAAATGAGTATTTTTGTGGTCGGTCAACCTGACCAATGTAGACGTATATTGCCGCTGGCTTAATTCAACGGGGGTATAATATAAATATTGGAGGCGCGATAGATCATAATGCCGTGACAGCTTCTAACGTTGCGAGACGCGTCCCCCACCTTTTGAAAACATAATTTCCCTCATTCATCATTTGCAGCGAGCAGGGTTTCCTGAATCAAGTAATTGCAAAATCAGCCCAACTCCTTCAAAGTGGTCCAGAGGATTTTTCAGCGAAAATCAGCCAAGATGAATAGCCAACGCACCGACCGGCGTGGGTGGCTCAAACTTGAAGCTAATCGAACACAACCAAACTCAAGAAAAGCAGCCATCGAACCTTCCCATTCACTTGACTGCAGCATTGGTGTTCCCTCCAGTGAAATGCCTTGTCTGTCGTCCTCTAACTGTTCTACATCCTCATAAAGAAACCCCTTATCAGTTACCAAGTAGTCGTCATTTTGAATGTGATTCGAGACAAACAAGAAATCAAAACGTTTTTTCCGCGATTCCTCCCCATTCAAGACATCGAAAACACGTGATGGAAGGAAACAATCTACTGAGGCTTCGTCGCACTAATGAACACTCAGGCAAACTTAAGAAATTCCCGGACCTTCGTTAAATTACATTGTTCACCATCGCGCCGACAACACGTGTCCGCGAAAGCCACCAGAGACGCGGAGGGGCGCGGAGCGACCTGGACCGGCTGGTTCCCGGTTTTCCCGCTTGGTGGCGTCCGTTTTGCTGGAGTCGCGAATAGAAGATTGGAAGTGTTTACTGAAAGTCGCTCGAGGTTGAGAAAAGTGGCCGGCCCAAGTCCCTAATCGCCAAGGAATTCAACATTCCGGCATCAGCTGTTCGACCCTCCTCCTTGCTCCTTCTTCTAAATCAAGAACTGTCTGCAAGTTTTCCTCGATCATAGACGTTAGGTACGGTGACGTGTCTAGTCTGAGATATTCCAGAGCACCTTCTGGAGCAGTTGATAGTCTCTTTTGAAGCACAAGCTTTGAACTTCATCCTCGTTCATTTTGTCAGTCCAGCTAAACGACAATGGCTTCTTTCCTTTCCCATTCCTCCGCAAACGCTCATTATTGTTCATCGCACGGCAAGCAGTTTGATTCCCTAACACAATAAGCCAGCAGTTTAGTTGCACTTAGAAGCACCAGACGTGGCAACGAGAACATTGTGACGAGAGCCTTTCCTTTTGTTTTAAAAGGCCAAGTGCAGCAACCACTTTGGAAACACACACTGATCGAAGGGCACATCATGAACATCCCTGAATTGTTATTTAGGTATGGAATCGAAAAACAAGACAAATAATATTCCAATGAAATCATGTTACACTTTACACAAAATTAGATGTTTCCTTTAAATTCTTAAGGTTGCAATAGAACTGCAATCATTAATTCAGCTAACAAAACAAAAACCTCCATCGTTTAATTATGCACTAGTTTATGATGATGCCAAAATAATAAATATGTCTTAAAAAAAAAAAAATCTTAACCAACATTATTTTAGAAGACAAAGTCGGCACATTTCATCATCGTTAGTGGATTACCAACCCACCCCAAAGTGGGACTGAACCTTGATGAAAGTCAGTGGCAAAGCAGCAGACATGGGTATCTTCGTGTCGCTGTGCGCTGCCATGATGCTCATTGTGAGACGCTGCATAGATGCCCGCGGCGACGCAAACGCGAGCTAGGCAGCGCTGCATGGATCCGCAAGTGACGAAGTTAGGGTAGGAAAGGCGCAGGTCTTCTCTTCTAGGTGAGATGGCCTCAGCTCGTGAAGGTTATATTCAAAATTCCATTTGTCCAATGCTAAGGCTCATTATGTTTTAATGTACTTCATTGATAGTGCCCTCAAACAGCTGAAGGCCACATAAAGGTGATAACTAAACGAGTGATTTGACATAAAGATTAAACCTGTAGTGCCACCCAGCTATACCTAATCGAGGTTATTTAGAAATCCTCTCACTAGTATACAAAAAGAGGGAAGCGTACAGTGCCGCAGCAAGATATAAAAGGATTGAAACGTCTCGTCCATGGGTGCCGTTTCTCCGCAGTACACTACCGTAGAATACCGTGCATCCGCTCATACCACACTAAGCGCCCATACCCAAATTTGTAAGATCTGAGAAAATATGCACAGTATACATTGATATGTAAAATTGATGACCAGACAAGTGCCCATCGCCCATTTTTTTCGCGATTATCTCTAAATTTTGAGTGGGCGCTTGCCCGGTATTTTACAGTAGTGTGCAGTGAGGATGAAAACTCAACAAAGCTAACTGGCACACTCAGAGACCACGAACAATGAGAAATATAGTGGAACTTCCTAATAGTACTGTAGTTTGATATGAAGATACAGTCAAATAGTATTACGTATGCCATTCAAAGCGACAATGGAAAGTTTTAAAAACACACGAACCTACCGTAACAAAGAAAGAGCTAGGCAACAAAGTGCAAATAATTTTTGTGTCAAAAAGGCTCGAAGTACACCTAAGCACTTCTAATGAGTTGTGAATGCATGCCGTTCCTCCGTTCCCTTATTTCATCTGCGGCATGCTTGCGCAACAATCGAGAGCATGCGCGATCCTCGCCGCACTGATTTTGGGCATGGAGTGGTGCAGCCGCTCCCACACGGACACGCAGCACCATGGGGTGGAACTAATTGAAACTGATGCGCAGCAGCTTCATATCACTGCCGCTTTGCATGGCTTTCTGCATGGTTTCAAGGCTGGGATGCCTCAGATCGCGGCTTCAGGAATTTATCTGCTGTTTGGCGCGGGTGATGACGTCGGCTCGCTCCATGGGACAGTTAATGCTTTCGCATTAATGAAAATGTATGGAGGATTATATAATTATAAGAGATCGATGCAGACAACCTAGGGTGCATATCAGTCGATTGAGCGTAGAGAGCTAAAGATACCAAATTGATGAGAAATGCTTTCAGGGCGATCGCACATCACTGCAATCAAGGCGTGGCTGACACAGAATGACTTCCAAGGTTTAATGGTCCCAAAATGGCATTGGAAACCACAGGGCATCTTGTCAGCCTTAATGAGCAATCCCTGAAAAGGCACAATGGGGCTTTTCTTTACTACACAACCGCATTATCATTTTGAAGACTTCTACCCACGCTATTTATCAATTTGCAATTAACTTCAGCAGACTACAAGCAGTTATGGTTAAAAAATGCACTCTTTACTGCCACAATACATTTGTGTCAGAATAATGCCCAACCCTCGTCCAAATATTACTGGTACACCCTCATTGGTCGACCTCGCACAAGTTGCAAAGACGGGCCCTGTGCTCGCTCAGCGGGAGAGTGGAGGGACGGGTCTCTTTTCTCGAAGGCCCGTACCCTCGGTGGCCTCAGACAGCAAGCGAGTGAGGCTGTTTTGAGCGCGGCCTCCCCCAGCGCGGCCTCCCCAGTCACCTTGAGGCTGAGGAGGCTGTGGTCCGACTGGAGCTGGACGCTGCGACTTGTCAGCTGTTGGGTGAACAGCAGCAGCTCTGCCTCCTTCGTGTGGCATGCCTCCAGGTCTGCCTGTGCTTCTGCCGCCGCCTGCCCCAGCCGCTCCGCCTCCGCCTGGCTCGCGTCCGCCTTCTCCCGCTCCCTGCACACCCGCTTGCTCAGCGTGCAACCACCTCACCTCGCCCCTTCTGTCGCATGGCCCCACGCACTCGAGCGGGAAGACAACTGCTAGCTAAACCAATCCAAACCCTTTCGCCACCTCTTTAAACGTAAAAGACAGAACACGGACAGCAATGTCGGCGTCCTGTCTTTTATGTGCAACTCTTTCATAAAAAATTGTCTCTCTAACCGGTTGCAGTTTTCCAGTCCCCGTGGTAATGGGGGGATATTCTGCACCATTTACTGCTCATACCTCGAGCTGCTTGGAAGTTCTCCTTAGTGCCACGACATTCTTGAATTTCTCCTCGCGACTAAGTGACAAAGTAGTCACAAGCAAGAGCATCGTTTCGGTTTGCCAACATCCAATAGAAGGATGGCAGTCGGTTGATGTCTAATGGGAAGACTTATAGAATTTAAAAAGTCTGTCGACAAAAAATACCTCAGGTCCACTTCAATTCGTCCCTAGCTTCCGCATGTCACATAACCTTTTTGTTTCATTTAACAAACCAATGTTGACCCCCCCCCCCCCTTCACCCCCAGAAAAAAGTGCAACTTGCTAGACAAACAAAAAAATTTTTTTTTTCTTTTTTTTTCTTTTTTGGTCTTTTGGATAAGAAAACAAGGAGGAAGCTAGAGGCAAGTTCAAAACATCACCCTCCAAAGAAAACGAAACAACAGTTTTGCTTGCCACAAGAGTATAATGTGAGGTTATGTTAGGGTTTCACTGTTTTCAGTTACTTTAGAAAGCTACATGCTTATGCAGCGAAACGTTGCTTATCCCACTTTAAATGCAAATTATGTACAGCTCCAGGATGCACATTTAATTGGCATAGTACAGAAGTGGCATGTTGGTTCAAGAAAAACTTTCAGAGGCAGGCGGCCGGCGAAGTCAAAGCGGCCAGTTTGAAATGCCTTTTGGCCTGCTGCCATCCACCTGGCGGCCTTTCTAGGTGGCCCGAATGACGTACCTGGCCAGCTGTAGCTCGAGGCCGCTCTTGTCGTCCAGCTCCTGCTTCAGCCTGGCCAGCGTCTGCTCCTGCTCAGACCGCTCCCGCTCCAGCTGCTCCACCTGCACGTGGGTCAGCTCACACTCAGCCTGCACTTGCTGCGCAGTCCTGGCTCCCACTTCAACAGGACCACACATCGAAGTGATTCCACTCAAGACCCAAATATGCGCATAGTCGGCACTAAAGGAAATTAGTGCGGGTAACTGACAGACCTTGGCCGTGAGGGCATGCTCCTGGTTCAGGCTGGCCTCCAGCCGAAGCCGGAGCTGGTCGAGCTCGTCCCGGCGGCTGTCGGGGCTGCCCTCGCGGCGGAGCATCTCGTGGCAGTCCCTGCGCACCTGGTCTGCCTCCTCTCGCAAGTCGCGCAGCCGCAGCTGAGCCTGCTCTAGCCGGCCCTGCGTTTCCTGCATTGGCCCCAGACGTCAGGGGAACCCGGCGGCATATGGACCCCAGCCTTCAAGGCCTGCCCTCGTGAGTGTGCCCCTCTTTCGCACGTGACGGTGCTCATTGCAAAAGGATAGCTAAGAGCACAATTGCTCTGCATTCACCCAAGACTGGCATGACCCTTCCACCTAGGTTTAAGGACACTTTGGGATGGTACCTCCCAGCATCAACCCTTTGCCTCTAAAATGGTTGAGGTGGCTGTCAAGACTCGTATGCAATGCGATACAAGTAACCGATTATCCTGACAAATTACATTTTATTATAGTTTTGTAACCCTTCAATATTCCCATCTTCGGCAGTTTTGATCCTTTGAACCAAAAATCTTGAATCACTAATGGAACAGCTTGAACGAGAGCCTTTACATAGACAGAATGCAAGCGGCAAGATCTACTTCTAGGAAACCTCGAACCTGTCCTGTTGTTTCTGCCTAATCATGGAGCCACCCCTCATAGACTGAGCCTTTCCATTCCCAGGTAGAGAGTTCAAAAATAACTTGTACAACAGACTGATTTGTTTTAAAGCGGTAGCTTTATAGGGCCAACCAACCTCAGCAGTCGCGTAAGCAAGAAATGTGCAGGTCGGTCAGTTCGTAACCACTAAACTAGCTTAGAAAAAAAAAAGGCAACTGGTGCCAGGGATTGAGCCCCAGTCACCGGCATGGAAGTTGAGTGCACTGATGACTGAGCTACGGACCCAGCATGCGGGAATGGGAGGAGCAGAAGCAGGTGGCATGACAAAGTGCATAGAGTGGAGAAGGCTGGAAAGAGCAAGAAAGAGAAGAGCAGAAACAGGTGGTGTAGGAAAAGCACGCAGAACAAGGAGTGGAAAGGGCAAGGAAGCGCGCTTCCCCTCTCTTGGGGGCCCAGCAAATTCAGTGCAAAGGCTTTGTGACCGGGGGGTGCTGAAGGGAAGCGTGCGCAGCGTCACAAAGAGACAATGGTGTGACGTAATCTGTTTTTACACAAAACCCTTCCCTAGGTACCACCTGAATTAAGAGCAGCACCCACCCGAGCACTGAAAGACTAAAGGTCATCCTGCCCTCGGCACCACCCACCCAATAAAGCTAACACATCAAAACGCATTTGGCAGAATGACCAAACATGCAGCCAATTTTTTTTAACACAGAACGTGTTATATGGCTGGCACGTACCTAACCATATCCGGTTAGGTGTCTGCAATGGAAGTCCACAGGCTGACTGCCAACCGAACACTGATGCAGCGCTCGTCTCCTCACCGATTGGGCACCAGTGCAAGTCAAACCCCTTCCTAGATGACTCCGTGTTACTCCCGGCGGGGTTGAAACATCACATGTTCGAACGTACAGCGGCGCTCTGTTTCGTGAAACGAGCGCACTTCGGGCTTCCCCAGAGAAAGAATGCGAGAGAGCGGCAGAAAAGAAGAGAAAAGAAAGCAGACGCTCACTTTGCCACAAGTGTTTCGTTCGCTTTTGCTGCGAGCTGGTGCTAGGGTTCTGCTCAACGCTGCCGCATTCCAACTGCTCTGTTTTCCACACGTTCCATCTACAGCATCTCACGCTCCAAGAGGCTCTGAGAAAGTCGCAGTTACACTGCAAGCGCATAAGATGGCATCCACAAGTAAGACGTCCATGTAGCGCTAATTTTGCACGACAGAGCCACTTCGCATCATTCAGTCTCCACATATGTGCACAGTTCCTCCACACTAGTGGCCAATTCGTCTGGGCCTGCACCGCACCCGTCCAGTGCAGTAACCTCTTTCCACTTTATACACGAAAGGCTGGCGGGGAGAGAAGGACGCTTCCCTCTCCCCTATAGCCTTCCGTGTACCACAAACCGCACTGCACCGGTGCGGTGCGGGCCCAGACGAATTGGCCATAACGCATCACATTTTGTGTTATCACTGGCTTTGCCACGCTACCTAGTACGGCAAAGAGGCAACTTTTTTTTTTTTTTCATTTGTCCATGGAAAGAAAAAACTCTCTTGCGAAACACAGAGTCCAATGGGGCAAAAAGGCAGCACCCCCATGCCACCTGGAATCATCAAAAATCCCTATCCGACTTCAAATTCAGCCGCAACGGCCCTTCTCAACCCCCAACCGAGTTCCTGCCAGCGTTGACAGTACGTGCAAAATCCAATTCATTCATGCTTTATGAATTAATTCCACACTACCGCTTGCAACTGCAGAATGGAATCTATTGTCAAATGACACTGTCACAAAAACTAATACCACTAGATTTTATGAAATGTTCAGTGCCTTTATATATATTCATATTGTAATGATCTTTATCAACAACTGTAAGCCTGTTATTGTTGTAATTGTGGCCACATGTCACACATTGTTCTCCAGTGTTTTTGTTATGTTTCTATAGAATTCACAAAGTGTATTTTACATTCTCCCTCGCACAATGCCTGGAAACGGGTCAAGGTATAAATAAATAAATTACTTTTGCCTGGGTTGTCAACCTGGAAGAAAATTTTGCTCCACGAAAGGTATCAGTCTGCCAGTGAGTCACTGAAATATGCAGTCAAGGCTAGAATTACTTCTTATGTTTTACTCTAGAGAACCACGAGAAAAAAATGAGAAGCACATGCTTCATTTCTCAAACGCGTGATTGGTATTATCCTGACTAGACACGGCATTGGCGACTAGGTTCAGGTTCAGGAAGACGCAGCAGAAGATCGCTCCAACGTCTTCCATTCACATTTTATAAACTACCTTAGTAGACAGCGAACCTGACATTTTCAGAGGAGGTCACCAGATGACTTGTTTTCTGCATTTGGCATAATGGAAACAAGCCACTGAACAATGGCATACCGAACGGGGCAATTTTGGTGCAACAATTACAAGGAATAAAGAATTTTAAATGCATTTTCCTGAAGTGCTGTCTCATCCCTTAAAAATAAAGTAGTTTGTAGTTTGAAAATATTTTGTCAATCAGGGAAGAACATTTTCTTTTTACATGGAAGATGGGACAAAAAGCAAGTCTTGAATAACTTATAATGTAACTAAAAGTTAACTTTTTAAAATTTTTTCACTAGCCCACAGACACACAGAACAATGCCAGTGGCATTGTTCTGCGTGTCTGCAACCCGCTATTAACCCTTTACCTCCCATGGACGACCTGGGTTCGTCCACACTGTTTGTACCGCTCCCCCCCAAAGAGGAGCTGGGCTCGCCCACGTTGATTCGGGCTCCAATACGCTACCATGGACGAACTGGGCTAGTCAATGTGTTTCTAGTGAGCTTTGTTGTGGACAGATGGCGCTTTACGGAAAATAAAAACATAATAAATTTCTGAATTTGGTGGAAAAGTGCTCCAACGCGGGCAACCGGGGATTTAAAATGGCGGCGTCAACTTCTGGTCGCATCGCTCGTAGTGACTATTTTGCTTCAAAATTGGGGCAAAAACGAAGAAATTGTGGCGTCTCTTCAGATTCAGAAGACGAGGAAATGAATCTTTCATCGGACAGCAAGAGTGATGCATCTGAGTTATTGGATTTTATCTTAGATGACTTCGATTTCGGTGAGGACATTGTGTCGGCCTGTCGGCATTGGACTAGAATCAACGCAAAAAATCCCCCTCCAGCCCCTCCACGTTTTGTGCTCACTTTGCTTGCAAGGTGATGTGAACTGTCTGCGGTAATGCAGTGAAGCCGAACTTTAGCCTCCTTTTCTTTTGCAGTGTGTTCAAACATCTCTCATATAATAATTATTTTTGGCATTTGTTTTTGGCCTTTGTATTGCATATGAAATTTATGGGGCACATAAAAAAATCCATATTTTCAAATTGTTCTTTTTCAAAATTTTTACGGTAGGCAAAGGGTTAAAGAATTCGTAAAGCCTTAATGGAGTGGAGCATCGCTTGCGTACGTTTGGAACACCGAGTACACAAGCTCTTCGTCAGAGGCGAGAGTATTTGTTTTCCCGCTAAAAGCCTACTCCACTCTGGGAACCTCCCTTTTAAAAGCAGTCTTATACTAAAACGAGGACTTTGCCAGAAAAGCAGCAGCTCGAGCAGGGCCTACCTTGTGAGCATCCACCTCGGTGCGAAGCTTGTTCTGGGCCCACTTGATCTTGATGTCGCGTGAGGCCAGGTCATCTCGCAGCCGCTCCTGCTCCTTGTGCAGCCGGGCCAGCTCGGCCAACTGCAAAGACCCGCCCGAACTGCATCCACACGGCACCCAAACCAGGCTACCCAGGACGGGTTTTCAACTGGCTGCTCAGCGTCCCATCCCGCATTCAAAGTGGTCCCTGAGTGGCCGTACCCGCACAGACGCAGCAGCACACTTTTGAGCATCCCTATCACGCTCCCATCAGATGCCAAAGACGGAAGCTAAGCCGAAGCACATGCAGCTCAAACGAAGCCTCGTGGCACTTCCAACGAACCAAAGCAGACCTGTTCCCGGGGCCGCCCACCTTGGTGTCGAGGTTGGTGCAGAGGCGGCTGCGCTCCTGGCTGAGCGAGCGCACCCGGCTGAAGTACTGGTCCCGCTCCTTGGCCAGGTCTCGCAGCCGCTTGTCCGCCTCCTCCAGGGCCTTGCGGGCCACAATCACCTCCTTCTCGCTCGTCGCGTAGCGCACCACCATGCCGTCTTTCTCTCGGGTCACCGCCTCCAGCTGCTGCGACAGCTGCAGCCACACCCCACCCGGGGGCTCAAGATGAAAGCAAATCCCAAGCGCTCACGTCGGTCGGGAACCAACCAAAAGGAGAGCAGACCACGGGTTAGGCACCTTCGTCTTGCCACAATGCACTCGTTATTTCACTGCTCGTCAACTTTTGGTTTTTTTCTTTACAGCATGTATGACGCTGACGTGTTTCCTCGCAAAATGAACCTAAAAAACACTAGGTAACGACCTTGCGAGTGATGTCTTGCCGAGTCTTTATTAAAAGGCGATAACTTTTCACACTCAATATTTTCTTTCAATGCTTCTCAATCTGTACAGCTTGCAAGCACTGTACGTGTTCGCATGAGATACTAATAAAAAAAAACACAAAAGGGGTTAAGTTCACAAAATTTCCTACCCTGTCACCCATTCATTTGGCAAATACCCAAGATCAATATGATACAAGCAAAAAAAGGGGCAATAGAAAGGTGTGCCATTCATTCATCAGCTCCGAAGGAGGGGAAAGAAAGACTCTCGCCCTCTTCCCATCAGCCCTGTACTGGACGTCGCTTTGGTACCCAGCGTGTCCCCCAGGTTTGCACTGTACAAGAAGGCCTCCTTCACTTTCCCACCAACAAATATGTTCATACAAGAGGTACAGCCAGGGTGAAAACTGTTTTCTGCCGCAGGTTTGCTCCGTGGGTAGAACTTCCTTGCAAGGCGAAAGTGCTCTGCCAACAAGAGCACTTAAATGGACCTCGGAGTTAATGTTCCAGTGGCAGTCTTCGATATAGGGTTAAATCAAAGGCTTTGCTATCTCGATCCCTAAAGGCTGGTTCGCACGTTCGCATTTGACTACGACCGACTGCACTACGACTCCTCGCATTCCACAGGAATGCATTGTGCGGAGTTGAAACGAGGTGGTACCAGTGTGAAAGTAGCACTCAAACACTTCTTTAATTCGAGTGAAAGTCTCGCACTATTCTGCAAGATCCATGAGATATGGTCGTTTACAACGCAAGGGTCGTTTACCCGATGCGAGTGAGTGAACCAGCCTCGAGTTGCGATTGACTGTTCTCGCTCAACCTAACGACCAGGCAACGCGGTGGGGCACCGAGCCATTAGTTTGCTTCGGGAAAGGAGAAATTTGTGGCACCGCCGCAAACGTCGGACACAAGGCGCGACAGGACCCGGTGCCTGCCCAGTGCCCACACGCTGCCCCCGACCCACGACGGAGACGGCGCACCTTCTCGTTCCTGGCCAGCAGTTGGGCCCTCGTCTCGGCCAGGGCGTGCCGGTGCTCTGCCTCCCGTGCAGCCAGCCTCTCGTGCAGCAGCACCAACTGGCGTTCCGCCTGCCTCATCTCTTCGTGGTTGCACCTCAGGCAGCTGCGTAGGCAGAGCCCAGAGTTGTTTTCCTGCCCTCTGGCCCGGTCACGATCCCCCCAAGAGCCCCATGCAGACTGCACCAGGTTTCTCGGCTGGTGGTGGTCCCGATTTGGCAACACTTTTTTCTATAACCTTTGACATTACTGCCTCTAATTTGGACGACCATCCATTTTGTTCGGAGACCAGTCGCGTGCCTATTTTCTTAGGCTTATCGATGTTACTGGTTCTCGACCCGAAGCTGCTCGAGTTTCTGTCAACTCGCCGGCTGCGGAGCGAGAGCTAGCAGAAAATGTCCCTGCCGTATCCGGCTCCCCTGCTGCGTTACCACCAGGATTGCGCTGCAACGATCGTGCCATTACACACTTGCAACATAAACAAGCAGAAATTGAGAGGACAAAATATTTCACGTACCACAGACGTGCCGCCAACTTAACATTGATCAGGATGTACTTTCATGGATTCGCGCTTTCCTTAATAACCGATCTCAATTTGTGTCTGTGAATAATACCTCTTCAAGTCCAGCTCCCGTGACATCAGGCGTACCTCAAGGCTCAGTGTTAGGTCCCCTGCTCTTTCTTATTTTTATCAACGACTTACCTTCCTGCGTATCGTCCTCTATTAGCTTATTTGCAGATGATTGCGTTCTTTACCGAGAAATAACTAACACCTCTGATGTTGCTATCCTTCAGTCTGACCTTGATTGTGTTTCTAATTGGTGTAACAAATGGAACATGCAGCTCAACACTGACAAATGTAAAGTAATGACTGTTTCTCGTCTTAACTCGCACTCTACTTTCTACTATCTAAACGGTGTTTTGTTGGAAGGCGTATCATCGTATAAGTACTTGGGGATCCATATTTCATCGAACCTGTCTTGGGAGCCTCATATTCGCTACATAACTAACAATGCTAACCGCATGCTTGGCTTTCTCAAACGTAATTTTCCATCTGTCCCTGTATCTCTCAAGCTACTACTATACAAAACCCTTGTCCGCTCAAAATTGGAATACGCCTCCCCTATATGGGATCCCGGTACTGACTTACTTACAACAGCAGTCGAAGCTATTCAAAATAGATCTGTTCGCTTCATTCTTACTAACTATCACCGTAGTGCAAGCGTAACATCTATGAAAACGTTTTTAAACCTACCTAACCTTTCTTCACGTCGTGAGTTATCCCGTCTTTGTCTGTTTCATAAAATTTATCATCACAATTCTTCCTTGCATCAAAAATTACTAACCCCTCCCTCATATGTCTCGCCACGCGTCGATCACCAACACAAAATCGGTATACCTGTTTGTAAAACCACTACTTTTTATAATTCATTCATCCCCAAAACAACAATCACGTGGAACCACCTTCCATCGTCAGTTGTGTCTGTAACAGATGCCATCATGTTTAAGCGTTGTTTAACCACTTTTCTAAGTTAAAATTTCTTATGTTCGTGTTTCTATTCTTAGGTTGTCATTTTGTTTTTTAGTGATTTTACTTTGTAACCCACTCCCCTCTGTAATGCCCTCGGGCCCTGAGGGTACAATAAATAAATAAATAAATAAATAGCGTGTTAGGCCTCGGAGACAAAACGGCCAAAATAGAAACATGCATCCAAGTGGTCACAACATGAACCACCAAGTTCAAGTGTCTTTTCTTTTTGTTGGGAGATGCATTTAAAATAAAGCCATTGGCACATACAAGGAGTCTGTCGGTTGCACAATATGCAAAGGTCGCCGAGATGTGGCTATAATAAAGCCATCGGTGCTCATCGGTCAGTTAGGATAAAAGCTGAACAGCACACAGAACTCCCCAAGACATGTGCATAATTGAGTTTGTAGTTTGTCTAAAGTTTACGAAATTGCTTTGCACACCCGCCTTTATGCATATTTTTGTCCCACTATTATTCCTGGGCAACATGGATTCATGAAAGGCCTCTCCACAGAAGCAAACCTGTATTCCTTCCTGCATCAGATTGTACCATCCGTCCATAGCGGAGGACAAGCGGAAGTAGTGTACTTTGATATGAGCAAAGCTTTTGACAAAGTTAGTCATTGACTACTATCGAGTAAACTCTGGTCTGTCTCTTAAGTACTGTCGTCTCCACGATAATTACCCATCTCACCGGCTGAACTTTGTGCGAGTATCCAGCCAATTATCTGCTCCTTTTTTATCTACTTCTGGGGTTTCTCAAGGCAGTAACCTCGGTCCTTTGCTGTTTTTAATTTTTGTAAATGATCTAGCTTCCTGTATTAAACACATGCAGTTGTCATTCGCTGATGATATTAAGTTGTTTACGGCGGTTAAAACAGTTGACGATTGTGAATGTCTTCAGTGTGATATAGATTCTATTTCGACGTGGTGTTTTTCAAATGACCTACTCTTAAATGAGTCAAAGATGAAAGTTATGCCCTTTTCTAGGAAGCCTGCAATTTTGAGTTTTCGTATGTATTAGATTCCACTGATATTATTATATTTCGCATTGAGGTCATCCGTGATCTAGACGTTTTTATGGATCCTGCAATTAATTTCAGTCATCACGTGACTACAATTGCGAATGCTTCCTTTAGAGTGCTGGGGGCCATTACACGAGGACTGTATTGGAGTGACAAATTCAGGTTTAATTGAAAGTGTTCAACGGAGATTCATTCGTGCTTTGTTTGATCGTTATTTTCAACCAAATTATTTCTATAGTTATGAGAGGATTTGTAAACTCGTGAAGTTAGACTCGTTGTACAACAGGAGAACAATTCGTGGACTAACATATTTGTATAAGATTGTAAATGGTATAATTGATTCACCAGAGCTACTCAGTCACATCTACAGGCACGTTCCTCGTAGGTCTCGTAGACTTTATACTTTGTTTTACCCTACCGATTTTTACCACGCTGCACCCATTACACACCTACAACTGATGTATAACCATTTAGAACAGATATGTGGGAATGTTAGTCTTGATATTTTTGATGAAGAGCGTAAATTTCGAAAGTGTGTTGAGACTATTGTTTTGTCCTAACATTTCATTTTTATCCTGTTTAAAATTTGACTACTAATTGACTCCTTGATAAGTGTACCACTAAGGAGGCGTTAAGCTGTTGATGGGTCACTCAAAATAAAATAAATAAATAAAAAATAATTTTAATTCATTGGCACATGCTAGTGTCGGTCAACCAGTATAAAAGTTGTACAACACTCACGGATCTTTTCTTTTCTTTTTTTTTTTTTTCTCTCTCTTTCTAATTCACACAAAAGCCATGCCACAAAACTTAACTTCAAAATTCTGAAAAAAAAGTTCAGGCTTTTCATAGACACATATGGTATTTTCAATTTAAATGACAAGTCTGCTCCATTCTCTACATTCTAGGCTTACAGTTCCTTTCTTGTGCAGTCAGCATCTCTTAATTACACGGGGTGCATAATTATAGTTGCCCTCCGGCATCATACATTAGTCATGTAGTGATCTCTTTTTTTCACACTGTGAACCTAGACCAGTGATTCTCAACCACTAATGTTTCAGAGACCCCTTCTGGGTCGGCAGAAGTGATAGGGGAACCCATCGACAGTGGGAAAAGGGGGGTACTGAATGATTACAATGACAAAAGACAACTTTGAAGCAACTTTGAAGGTCTGAAGCAGAGAATAATCAGCCCTAGACACTTGGCACGCATGGTTCAGTCTATTATTTGGCTTTGTGGGATAGCCCGAATCAATAAAAAAAAAAAGGTTTAATTGCTTGGCTTAGTTGACATTCGAGGGCTTCGGAGATCCTAAGGAGACCTTCAGGGACCCCAAAGGGCCCGTGAACCCCCATTTGAGAACCACTGGCCTAGACTTTGGAGCATTTATAGCAAAACCACAGATGATGAAATAGAGAAGCACTGCCTCAGTATTGTCATCTGTGTCCTTTAACATTAAGGAGTAAGAAAATGTTCCTGACAAGGTAGTGCCTAAAGTCATATTTTGCAACACTGCATCATGGACAGGACATGATTTTGCCATAATCTAAACCCTCCATGTCTCAGGGTTTAGAGAATGATGTTTCCTAAACACCTTGCCAGCACACTTAGCCTCTTGCAATGACTACCATCCAACGGAAAAGTCTAGTTTATATTGGAAAGTCCACTTTAGTCGAGGCACCAACGCACTTATGTTAGGTAGTGGCGATGCTCCTCAACCCTGAGCGAGATGCTGCGCTGGAACCATGCAGACGGTACAGAAGAAAAAAAAATTATTTTGAAAATTACTCATATATTCCAATAGAGGCAAAGGGCTAAAAATGTGACATACAACATAATTTGTTCTAGACTGTCGCCAACTTTCTTTCTTTTTTTTTTTACTGCTAGTAATATTGTAACTTTGTAGGACAACACTACTGATACCTTTTTAAAAAAAGATTATAATCAGTGTAAAGTTTATTTCTTGCTCGTTGATGCCCCCCATATGAAGATTACCCTCCAACAAAAATATTTTTAACCAATCTATTGAAGTTTAAGTCAAATAATGCCTTGTCCAGAAATATTCCTACGTCATAGTACTTACCAAACTTTTTTCACTTCATTTTCTTTATTTTTTATGCAAGAAAAATACAACCCAAGTTTTATTATAACTGAATCTCGTGTGGCTTTTATTGTTCTTACTAATCCAGCATGCCAATAACCAGTAAGGAAATTGTAGTCTCATATTGGGTTTCTGCATTTAAGCGTGTTGCGGCACCTCCTACGTGTTTCTTCACACCTCTCTGCGTGTCTAGGCTTGTACAAACTGTCTACATAATGACCAAAAGGCCCTCAGGGTACATAAAGAAATAAACTGATGCATGCATAGCGTGTCACTGTTAGCGCAACAAGTGACTGCCATTTTATTTATTAATTTTTTTTTTCTTAAAATTCAAAGAATTTTTCTAAAATTACCAGCGTAGTAGAAAGTGCTCAGTTACGGCCCAAACATAAGTGGAAACTTTCGGCACCTACAAAGACCATTTCAAAGTGAAATTAGAAAGAGTGACAATATTGCGTACCCACTAACAGTGGAAATGCAGTGCAGTGCACGTCTACTTCCCGTTCATTAAGGATCAAAGGTGGTCAAGCCTCCTCGTTAAGTGGCTTGAAACGGTTCGGCAATCGAGCGTCTGAGACTATATTAGCCTCACCACTAGTTTCCCCAAGAAGCCCTTCATCAGTTAGCGCACCTGCGCAGTCAAGAAGTCTGCAGACAGGAAAGCTCTTGCCAGAGAATGAGGAAAGTGTTGGTCCTCCTTCAGAGAGGAATTCCTCAGTAATTTGATGACCCCCACAAGAACAGTTTCTTTTGGACCCCTTCAAGAAGAGAGGCGAGCACCCACCTGAAGCCCCCCCTGGCACCATTCTGCATCGGGAGAAACTCTCCATCTGATTCCGAGAGGAGGGCATCGCTGTCATCACTGCACGATGATGGGCACAGCCGTGCACGCTCCGAGGCCTGGCCGTCTGGTGTGGCCATGTCGGGCGTACTCCCTCGAGGCGTGGCCACCACAGGGGAGGCTGGCGCAGGGGAATCCGGCACAGGGGAAGCAGGCGCAGGGGAGGCCGACGTAGGAGATGCCGGTGCAGGGGAGGCAGGTGCAGGGGAGGCCGACGCAGGGGACGCCGGCGCAGGAGACGCCGGCGCAGGGGACGCCGGCGCAGGGGACGCCGACGCAGGGGACGCCGGCGCAAGGGACGCCGGTGCAGGGGAGGCTGGTGCAGGGGACGCCAGTGCAGGGGATGCCGATGCAGGGGACGCCGGCGCAGGAGAGGCCGGCGCAGGGGAGGCCGGCGCAGGGGACGCCGGTGCAGGGGACGCCACTGCAGGGGAGGTCAGCGCAGGAGAGGTCGGCACAGGGGTGGCCGGCACAGGGGTGGCCGGCGCAGGGGAGGCCAGCGCAGGGGAGGCCAGCGCAGGGGAGGCCGGCGCAGGGGAGGCCGGCGCAGGGGAAGCCGGCGCAGGAGAGGTCGCCACAAGGGAGTCTGCCCAAGGCAAGGCTGCCACAGACAATGCCCCACCGGTTGCTGGTGCCACCACGGTGCTGCCCGCCTCGGCTGCCGTGGCACCCTCCATCCCAGCCTCACTCTTGCCCTGGCCCAAGGAAGATGCACAAAAGGTCCGGTGGTGGCAGACTCATAGACCTTATCCGAAACGGTTGCCACCAATGCCACGCGATTCACCACGAATTCTGTATCGGGTCACACATTTCCACGTTTCACACGAACACATATACGCTGGTTGAGATGAAACAACTTCAATCTCAGTCGAAATAATACTGTGAAGATACGCTGGAAGCTTTCTAAATAAGCTCATTTCATCCAGGAATATTAGTCACCTAAAACATACAAATATTTTCAAATAAATGAAAAGATTTTTTTTTTTTTTAACTTGGCCCCATCTGAAACATTTTAAAGTTTCTAAAACTTGCATGACATTTGCTGTGGAAATGAAAAGAATTTAATACAGCCTACTTTCAAACCAAGTACTTTGAGAGTCATTTTTTTGTTGAGAGTAAAAACAGTGTAACTATACATTAGACTGTTTTGATCCCGAATTTGCTCTCCCCCTCTGTAATGCCTTCGGGCCCTGAGCGGGCGAATAAATAAAAAAACTGTAGTTTTTTTCCGACCTTGCAAATTATACACCAGACCAACATGACCCACGTAACTCGAAACGTCTAGATATCCTCGCCATAGTACAAATTTTAAAACCTGAAACCTGTTTATTGATACCCACACACCGAGTCTCCAATCCGACTTTGCATGGAACGTTGGACCTTCAAATTCAGTTCTATCTTTGCCAAGATTCGTGTTTTTTACAATTCACTACTCAGTACTCAGTATCTTGCTGGCACTAACCTCATAGGAGAGCTCAGAACTTAGGCAGGATACCAGGAACTTTATTACACAGATGAGGAATGTTTAAACTTTTCCAGCCCGACCCATGGTTTTGGTTCTGCCCGTTCCAAGGATCAGAAAGCCCCCTCTGCAAATGTCCTTCAGCGTCACTCGAGCCGCCAGCACTGGAGCCCAGTCAAGTCTTGTCTGCCTAGCACTCACTCCTTTGGCCCACTTGTCCAAAAAATTGAGGAGCGAGGAATTCCTGCTCTTCCATTTCGACCACTGGGAACCCCTGCTGTTTGTCCTTGTTTTCCAAATTGCAGCCGGCACCATTCATTTCAACTGCTCTTGCACTACAATCCCTTTGGGGTTGAGTGGAGTTCAGTCCTTGAACAAGTATCTCCCCCCCCCCCCCCCCCCCCCCCCCCCCCAATCTGCATGTGTGCAAAGCCAGCCAAGAGCTGATTCGTTTGAATAACCCACGAAAATACCTAGCACGAATTAATGCAATCCACACCCACGCAGGCAGGAATATGGAATTTCACTCCGATTCCTATTCACCCAACAGGGGTGGCATCATTTAATCAGGATATTTCTTTGTGGCATTGTGTATTATTCTCAAAAAAAAGTAATGCAGGAGAGCAACACATGCTTAACAACGTCTTTCTTCAATCTACAACAGTGGCTAATTGGAAAATGGCATTAAACTGCTATAATTTGTGCAAATGACTATAATACAAAAAAAAAAACTCCTTTGTCCTTTCGTTACTTAGTGAATAACGTCCCACTGCAAGCTGTCAACAAATATAAATACCTAATTGTCTCACATCAAATCCTTATGTGGAACACATACATTAACTATTTATTAGCTAAAGCATCACAGAAGCTCTGTATTTTAACTACTTGAGCGCTGTTTTTGTTATTTTTTTCCCCACGAATACTGTACGCAAATTTTTGTCTCAGTAACACCATACTATGCTCTGTGAATACACACTATTTTATGGGCAAAAATTAACTTATGTCTCCAACCTATAACCTATTTCTTGTATTGTACTTTATGAGATATGGTACTATGTAGTGGCACCTCAACCTTGCACATCGAGGTCATTCATTCGAGCGGCTTTACTCTGCCTTTTTTTTATTTGGAACTGCAACTTCCTTGTTTCCGCAGTTGTCTAATACCGAGTTCATCGGAAATTTATAGCTCTCGGTGTTCGTCGCGAAATGCGAGATTGATTGACATAGATTTGCCATTCTGTAACCATGAAGAAGCATACCAAAACAGAAGTTGCCTAAAGAAAAAAAAAAAAAAAAAAAAATGACATGCCATCAGAATGTGACGCTACAAAATAGAACATTGTTTTCATCGCTTGCCCATACATGCCACTCATATAAAAAAAAAAATGAAAAAATTGCAGCCCAGTTGGGAGGGGCAGGGAGCAAACCGAAACTGAAACCACAAGGGGACGCACCCAATTATACTCAAGTATGGCAGTCAAAGGCTTAAGAAGAAAGGTTTGCTACTTCATGCCCAAAATCAAATTAGCGGCCTACACCACAGTCATCAGGCCATTACTAGAATATGCCGACCTGGTATGGGACCCATACACAAAAATTAACATAAACTGCTGAGAAGGAATTCAGAAAAAAGATCTACAATTTGCATTGAACCAGTGTGATAGGTTGGCTTCTATTTCACAACTGTGCAAACTTTCGAGCTCGGAATCTATGGAAAAATCAACCACTTTAGACTACTGTATCATCAATGGCAAGGGCAACCAAAATCAAGTAATCAATGGCAACCAAAATAATGCCCCTAACTAAGAAAGATTCCTTCAAATACTGCTTCCTTTCTCGTACCATAGATGAATGAAACAATTTACCACGACGTATCATAAATCAGCCAACGACTCTTGCCTTTGTCACTGCACTCACAGAACACTTAGTATCATAAAAATGTTAATGTTTACTTTAATATTTGCTGATGACAATCATGTTTCATGCCATTGTTTTTTGTGTCATTTCACACCTAACCATTGATATCCGAGAATGTATTGCATTTAATTTCGTTTGCACAGTGCACTGCTGGTACTAAGTGATTGGTAACTTTTGGTTAGAGACACTATTTTTTGTCTAATGCCTATTCCTAACCAGGCAGAGAGCCGCCAAACGTTCACCTTCACCTTTCAGTTAATATAGGTTTAAACTAATCATATTCCATGTTGTTTTTATTTTTATTGTATCTCCTGTCCTTTTGTACAGCCTGTGAAGTAGTGTTCACCTTTGCCTTGGCCACCAAGCAGGTGGCTGGCAATATTGTTTAATAATAAATAAATATTTTTGTCTACCATTTGCTCCTCAAAACAATAATTTCCGGAACAGAAAAAAAAAAAAGAAAGATTTTCATTTCGTGCATTTCATTTTGAGAGACCCAAGATCCCGAGTAACTCCTGGAGATGTGAAGAATGCCTGTCTCACCACAGCCGCTGCGCACTATTTGAATTGTTTTCAGAAATGTGTCAACTGCTCAAGGTTTTTGACTTGAAACAGTTTACTGAGGCACGAATTCACAAAGTTTGCAGCTTTGGCAGTCTTTGCAGAGTGTCGAACTGAACCCGAACCAAAAACCGGATTAAAACCATTATTTTTTACTAAACAGGAAGCAAACCAAAACAGAAATGAAAAATTTGTTATTGAACCCAAACCGGAGTGAGAGCACAATATAATGTGGCGGTTACCGGTTCACTGGAAAAAGGTTCAGCACAATAAAATGTGAGCCGAGTGGGCTCATATTTTGGCACAAGGTCCATTTTAGCATTCACGGCAGTGGTGGCAGCAGCGTTGTGCTGCCTAAATAAACGGCAGCAATGTGGAGATAGCTTAATAACAATGCAACAAATAAATAAATTGCCCTTCTAGGTACAACACGACTTCGAGTCCGAAAGGAGGCGTGCACCTCTATCCTCCATTTCCCCTTACGAGGAATCACAGTCATCCCAGTGAATCCAGAGCTGTGAACATATTATGTGATGACACTCATCGCTGCATGCACTGGCCTTGCTGCGTGGAGGTCATGCGACAATTGCACGGCATTGGATTGGCTCCGATGACTCACTGCTAAACAATACTCTCCAAAAAAAGAGAGCATAAAGATCCAAAATAAAGACATCTACGAGCTGTCACACGTCTTCTGCGATGGCAAAAACTAAAGCTGCCAGATGCCACTGACATGGCTGGAGAGGGAAGCACAACACGGGAGCCAGGCACGTAGCCAGGGGGGAGGCCCATGGGGCCCGGCCCCCCCCCCCCCCCCCCCCCCCCCGCCCCGAAATCTTCGATTTTGCCGGGACCTCCTCTCCCCCCCTCCCCCTCATACAGCAATTTGTCATGGGCGGGCCCCCCACGAACCAAAATCCTGGCTACGTGCCTGACAGGAGCACTACGACTCTGACCGCCCCGTAGCTTTGGGCACTGCTTAGGAAATAAGTTGTTCTTCACATTTTTCAAATGCAGTTTTTCTTTTTCTCTCCCTTTTTGCTTTAATCATCCTCTGACTGCCCTTTGTTGTCTTTCTGGTCTTCAACATTGTTTCAACCCAATGATTAATAATTAGTAATTATTTAATAGTAATTTGCAAGTGTGGTGTATGGTGCACGGTGCATGCTGGCCGATTGACTTTGCATGCGAGTACTGTTTTTGAGCACCTGAGCGCCACCGTATTATTAGCATAGTGATGTTTGTGATTAAAAGTCAAGATCACAAAACAAAATTTAGTATTCTTTAAAGCAGATGACGCGATTTAAACACACTATTTTTTCTTAGCGATTGGGAATTATGAAGTTTCTTTTTTGTTGAACGCAGAAAATGTGTGGCTAGCCACGATCTAAGGTAGTTACGAAACGACCTGTTTGAACTGGTTCGTACTTGGTGTAACCACTAACCAAACCTAAAGTTTGCATGAAGAACCGGAACCGAACCGGAACTAAATACAAAGCTGCCGATGGATCCAAACTGAACCAGAAATAAAGGTTTTAGCTAGTGCACGCTAAAGCTTTGCGTACACAAAGAATAGCGTCGTCACCACTGTGAGTGCGCCGAACCCTAACCACGTTTTGCGCTTTGTGCATGCTATTTTTCAGAAATTGTGTGTGTACGCAGAGTTTTTGCACTCCTCCAAGGAGGACTCGTGATGAGAAGTTGGCTAAAGCTCAGACGAGCACAGTTAAAAAATGGTGACCCCCAGGACCATGG